CAAATTATGTTATAAACTAGAGCCCCACTCTCAGATTTACTTGTGAGTTCTTTCTTAGCTATCTTATAATCTTTTATTTTCTTCAAATAATATCAGGCCCAATGGCTACTCTCCCCCATCCCACTCCAATCCCTAAATCACCAGAGCCTAATTGCAAAAGGCCGGCAACGCACTCGCGACTGATTAGCTGTTTCCATACAAACATAGAATCGTTTGATTAAAGAATATTTTGAAAATGTTTTTTTTTTAAATCGGTTCTTTGGTTTCTTTATTTCTGACTTGTTTCTGACTTTCGCTTAAAGTATAAAAGGTGTCCGTGCTGCGAAATTATCTTAAATTATTGCCAATACCTTTGTCAAGTTCAAAACAATTTTATTGTTTTCCTATAAAATAAACCTATCTCTTAAACGTCCTCTATTAATTCCTTTACTGTATGTGTATACATATGTACATCAACATCTGTCCGTCGGCTGTTTTTCCTTAAAATAATGATGCTTATGAATGCAATATAAAATGTTACTCTACATAATAAATTTTTATCCTATGATTAAGGGCACTCTAATATAAATTTTAATGGTAAGGGCGGCAAATGGTCTTGCAGATCACCCATCAACAACTGCAACTCTCAAGGAGCTACGAGTACGTTGTCAGCCTTTTGGGGGTAAGGATTTGTAGTAACCCAGTAACTTGATCTAATTGAAATATATGAACGGGTCAGTCACGTATTTGAGAAATATTTACTCTACTAGGATCAAATCACACCGAGGCTCTTGGAGAGCTATTTTCTGAAATAAACTAGTCTTTTTAATAATTTTCGTAATCTAACTAGCTAAGATTTGTATTATCTATAATCTATATGTATATCTTTATATATAAAAATGGATCGCAAAATGTGTTGGTAAGCGCATAACTCAACAACGCCTGGACCAATTTTGCTAATTCTTTTTTTGTTGTGTTTGTTATTATCAGGAGAAGGTTCTTATGAAAAAAAGTAGAGAGTAAGAAAAGTAGAGGGGAAATTTAGGTAATATTAGGTTCCCTTTCACCGTAAGCCAAATGATGAGACCCGTGAGAAGAAGGGGCGAGCTGCTAGTTAGTTAAATAAAAATAAATTAACCTGCGTAATGTCTTGTTAGTATACTTAAGGTATATGTTTCTTACTATTTTTTTTAATCAATATAAATAATAAAGTATTTTTGACGTCCATAGAAACCTATTGTATAGTTTTGTTTGAACTGCTCGTAATGTAACGTGTATATATCTATATGTATAGTATACCAAATATAAGCACAATAGAATCATCAACGTAAAGAAGTTGATATTTTTTTGGAGATTCGAAGCTCGCGTGTCCCTCTTACAATTTTAATTCCTTTTGTAAACCTGTTTCTAAGGGCAACTGTATAACAATGTGACTAAGGATCCTGTTTCCAAAGGCTACTCTTCTGCCCAATTAGGAGGCTAAACTACTAACATAAGCCAGTACCTGACAAGGTAACGATACGAAGAAAACAAAATAGAGATAAAACTTAAAACTACTATAAATTAAAAAAAGAATTAAAATGCGATTATCGATACGCGATATTTATCTTATCAAGAATTTGATTTATTTTTTGCGTTGATTTGATTGTCAAATTTTATTACAACATTTTTTCTAACATATTTGAGAAAGCATGAAAGAACTCATCATAGAGAATCAAATCTAATGCAGTGTAATTTTGTGTGAGCGTGGCCGCGACCGTCAATTATAATGTTTGCCTTGTTTATTTATGGAACATAGAGTTTGGGTTGAGCCGCTTACAACGACTAGATTGCGTGTGTCACAGTCTTTAAAATATAATAAAAAGCTTCCTAAATAAACAGGTCACTTATAATTTCTAAGAACAATTTCAACGTACCTGCAACTGCTAACGCCTGATCCAAATCTGCTGCATTTTTGTCTTTACTATCCACATCCTCAGCAACAGTATTTATTTTACTTTCCATTTTATCAATATCATACACACAAAATTAAACTAAAAGTATTTTATTTTCATAAACATAGATCACAACTTTTTATTAACAAGCATTGTTTTCAGTCGTCGTTCTGCGACTGCAGATAAAACCGTATTGATGAACGAAAACACGCGATTATTATTCCAATTAATTAACTGATTACAACTGTGTTAAAACACGTCTGATTTACAAAGAGTGATAATGATGCGAAGTCGTAATTAGCGTAAGAGCGCGCGTATTAAAACTCGTGTGTTTATCAGGAATTAATTTGTGATACTGGCCGGCTTCGACTGCGGTCCCGATTCCGTGCCCCGTTCACGTCAACCCGGATTGTTCCATGCTTCGTTGTAAACAACACTTAAATGTTATGCGATCTAGTGTTTTATATTTCAACACAAATATCATTGACATTGTAGCTTTTGCCCGGCTAAAGACCGATAGAGATCTTTTTGTTTAAATTTTATGAGTGTTACGTTTACTGATAATTTCAGTTATAAATTTTTATAATACATTAAGCAGCAATAAGATTCGTCAAGATTGAATAATGTCAAACAAGGTGAAGAGTGAGGCAAGGTGAAGATGGTTGCTGTCGTGAGTATCGATAAAACAGCGTCTCCCGACGATAGTGATGTCTGCAAAGTTTGTCCTTGAAAACGATGAATGATGTATTTGTTAAATAATGAGTTAATAGAACAGAAAGACTGTTTATCGTGCATTGAAATGATTTTAAAATGTTTATGTCTGAGAGTTAACGTGTAGTTTTTTTAGTGCACCTATTATGAAACATGTGATTTAAGAATATCTAGACTGTGTACATCCACAATTGCCAAGTCCTGATGTTATATACAGACTTCGTTGTTTGAAGCATGTAAATAAGTCCAAGGAATGTCACGGGCATTAGGTACGGTATTTACCCGTCTAGGTGGTAACTAGGCTTTTCTTTTGAAGGGGGGATCTTCATATGACTTTTCTCGCCCCAGTTGGTTCGAGAGAGAGGGTCAGACCACTACTGACTAAAAACTACCTCGTTCCTTATGCGGCCCCATAGTCACACGTCGGAATACCAGAGACACTATATATCCATATAACCATTTTTGCCTGTTTGACTACAAAAGTCGTTAGTATTACTTACTTTATATACTTACTTTAAATATATAATATATAGTACCCGGTATCTATTGAGTTGTTTATTAAAACACAAAACACTAATAAAATTCTAGGAACTTTAAATGTGTGGTTAATATTAGGTATATAAAGTGGATAATTTTTATTATAACTTTCATGAGACCCATAACACTAAATTAATTATTATGTTTTCGGCTTACTCAGGTAATTATTTGACGAGGAACTCGACAAGTTTCAAGCCACGCTAGATGCCAAAAAAATATGTGTGATCAGCATTCCGCGAGTTTAGTCGAGAAAGAGGGATGGAGCTATAATGTAGCCTCTTTCTCGCCCGGCAGATTGACGCTGTAACACTTCATGGCCATGGTAGGCCCGCCGATCTGTTACTTCTGCGATACACACATACCTATTATTTGTATAAACGACAACGTATTCGTTGAATTTTTTGCTATTAAAATGCTATGGGGTTAAATCCAATTCTACACACTATTGGGTTCTCAAATTGCAATTTATTGGGGAATTTCAAACAGCGAGAGCTATTTTGTGGGTTTCGGATTAATTCAAAAGTGGGCATCGGCATCGTAAAAACAGCCCTGGGAGCAACAGGTTGTAGGTAAAAGTATATTTATTAAAACAATTATCTAACTGCTAATATAGTTTTATACTGCTAATAATATCTGACTGTATCTGTATTTTCTATTCCGTGGACGGTATAATTGACTACGCAAAAATAGAAAGGCTAAATGATACATAGGTAATCGGATAGAATTGACCAATAACGAATTCAAAAAAAGTGACCACTTATAAAATTATTGAAAATAACGTCGCCGCGACGCGCACACTGCTCATGAATAAGAGTCCCGTTGTGACTTGAAACAAGTAGAGCTTCTCAGGCAATTCACGACACGTAAGCCATTATTTTCAATAAAGTTAGTACGTCTCACGATAGTTACATATTACTGTGGTATCCAATACTAATAAAAAAGTAAAAAAATACAGATTATTAGTAAAAAAAATTTATTCATTATACCAAAATATTTTACTTACAGCTATATCTTATTTTATAAATCAGAACTTTGTGCATTTCGGTTATTGCTTGCTGAATTTTCTAGTTGAAGTTCCTTCTTGATTAAAGGTCTTTGTGACCCTGGGAGTAAGAAAGTGAGCAGCCCGCACACTGAAAAAAAGAAATTGATATATGTAAAAGGAGCAATTAAAATATTATTTTCGAGTAATATTGAATTTAGAATGGAATCGAATGGAATCTAAACTAATCAAAGAGTCAGATCGATAATTTATTGTTTCCCTCCCAAATTAAGCTCTTAATAAGTCTTAGTACACCTATTTGGTAATTAAAATGTAATTTAGAAAAATCCTACGTTAAAAATAAATTATTTGGACATGTTTTTATAACAACTATCGTGAGACGTACTAAATTAACTTAAATCGCGGGTTACTCATGTGTGTAATTGAGAAAAGCTTTACTACTTTTGAACCACAGAGGGGTTCTTCTTCATGAGCAGCGTCCGCGCCGCGTCCCGCGATCTTAAGTTAATTTATTTGGACATGTCAGTAAAATTAATTAATGAAACAGTACCATAATAAATTTTATTCATTAATTCGCCAATATAGGTACTTACCTAATTTTAGATTTACTCTAAGCTTATTTTTCAGAAATAAATAACTATGTTATATAACTTATAAACATTATAACGTGTTTTATTATGTTTCGATTTCACACAAAGTCCATAGTAAAGTGTCTTTTTTTAACAATTTTATAAAACTATTGAAAGTGGCTTGTTGGAAACTATCGTATTATAATAATGAACTAAATATGTCCAGCCCGCGCAAATTTTTGTAATCACGTTACTATAAAAACATACCCAAAAGTAAACCTCCAAATAGGTAGAAAGTAACTTCACAGGCTGCGTTCAGAAGGACACCAGCAACGTTGATGCCGACTATAGAGCCAGTTCGTCCACACATCATCGTCAATCCCACTGCCATGCCCCTGAAACAGTTCAAATAGCAATGTTTTAATCTGACAGATTGCGTTATCTAATCAGTAAAATATTGGCAGCAAATATTCATACACGAGAATTCTAGTCAAGTCCAAGATGGCATTTAAAAAAAGCGTGTTAAAAAGACCATACTACCAGGTAAAATAATTGCCTATTTCATCTCTAAATTATGTATCAATCTATTGAATGACTCAACTTTAAAACACGTAGCAAGCGTTTCAGTTTTATCTCTATAAATATTCCCGTCGATTAAATACACAATCCTATAATTTTAATTGTATTCTTAAATCTTTGAACGCCTACACGTACTTACGTACGTATGAACTATAAATATGTTTCAACCCACCTTAGATGTGTTGGGAAGAATTCTCCAGAATAAGCGTTGATTGGTCCTATAGCCAGAGCTAAGATTTGTAGTGAAGAGAGTAGAACAGCGAAGACCATATCTTGAGTTATAAAGTTGATGAGTATACAAAATGTTCCTATTAGTAAGAATGCTATGATGAGAAGTCTCTTCTTGCCGATGAACTTGACGCAGCTCCCAACAGCCAGGCAGATAACAGTACAACTGGCATTTGCTACTGCATTTATCACAAACGTTATTGTTTCTATTGTGTCTACGCATTCATCGCTTTGTGAAGTCTGAAATAAAAAAAAAAACTGTTTCCAAAAAGAGATATAAACGTCGCAGTGCCAACAATAGATTGTTCGTTTTGGAGAAACGTAAATGTTAGTGTGGGCGACCCATACTTTGGCAGGAACGAGCCTCGATAGGAGTAACACCACGATACGAAACGAAGTCCCAATTCTCAAATTCATAACAGCTCTTTAGGGGTTGACAACGAACTTGTAACTCCTCTAACGTCAGGCGATAAAATAAATAACGTTTTCCAAACAGTGTGTTTTGATAGCTAATAATAATAACCTATTTTCAACAACATTTACCTGATTGAGGCGATCAAAGATGACGTCACAAGCCGTTTTGTCTTCCCCGCCGCCGGTCATAACTCTATTGAGGACGTCTGGTACCCACATGTATAGACCATTCAATCTGAAATGCATTGTGTACCTTGTTACTTAAGCACTAAAGACAATTATCTGTTTACACTTACTTAATCAACAAAATGTTTCTTGCCCAGAAAATTACCAAAATGGATCTTGTACAGAAAACTTTTATGATCTACAACTTGATGTTCTGGATCTGGGTGCAAGTTGTGAGTGTTCGAATAACAGCGAATATTAGCATTGATCCATGTGAGAAATATGTTATTTTTACTAGAGCATCGATTGAAAATCCTAATGCTCTTGCAATCGCAACTCTGACGCAAGACGCTTCACTTGAGAGTTGCAAATTGCAAATATGTTGATAAATAGTATTATGAATACTTACACTGAGAATACGCCAAACATAAGGAAACTATTCAAAGCGAACCATTTTAGATATGGTGGCTTAAACAGAGGTACGCTTTGGACTCGTAATGATTTGAAGAAAGTTTTCTTCTCAGTGTCATGTGGAGGTGCCATCAACCGCTTGATCTGAAACATTATATTGTCAGAATTACCTACCAAAATAAAATAAAAACTGCGCTCTTATTTTTGATCAAATGCGTATCAAAACACTAGTCTAAACAAAGCTTTGAATTTTTGGCAATTAATAACAATTAGGTCTGTTTGGACATTTAATTTTAGTTTTTTTTTTCAGTGTGGTAAAAGGTTGTTCAAGCGTTAAGCAATGTTGGTGCGAGGTGATGATTGCCAAAAATGAGGTTCAATAAAACAGTATCTTCTTTAAAAAAATTGAATTAATAAAGCTTCCCTTAAGATATGTAATGTACATATGTGTGATAAATCTGTTGATAAGACAATATATGCTACGGTACTACCAATTTAATTTGTTCCGATATTTTTTGACACCAAGCAGCGGCAAGTGAGCAGATAGATCACTATGTTACACACACGAGAGCAGTTATAAAACTACAAGATAAGAATAAATAAATCTTAAAATTATATTTACTGGAAATTCACCAGCGTCCTTTTTGTTGCCAACGTAGATATCTTGTAGAACTTTGAGTGCTTCATCCATCTTGCCTTGTGAAACTAAGAATTTTGGGCTCTCAAGACCAAACACCATAAGAACAGCGGCTATGATGAAGATGCATGCGTACAATATGGTCAGAAGTCTCCACGGTCTGAACAAGTACAGGCCGAAGTCTATACGGAAATCCAGAGGCAGTATACCCCAAGCTAGTACTGAAAGAAGTAAATATTGAAGAATATAAGAATTTATTTTTGAATTACATAATTATCATGCCTATTAATATCAGACTTTCTTCAAAATCCCAAATTAAGTAATGTATAATACATATTTTTCACTAGTAGAAATAGTATTAATCAATGATACACTTTTTGTACACAATAATAGGGCTGAAATGTATGTATGGAAAAAAGCCCTTTTAATAAAATAAAGATTAAAAAAAAATGATACACTGGACTTAAATTGTTTTAGCTGTAGGTTTGTCCCCTTTTACCTACAGCTACAACAATTTAAGTCCAGTGCGCGGCGATCAAAGGAGCTGACGTCTAAGTAGCGTCGCAATTTTTAAGATATTTTTGGAGACATTTGGAATTCAATGAACAAGTGAATTATAGTAACAATTCGGTTTATTACTTACATGGTACTATGAGCGTTCCGCTAACCTGTAGAGCATTGGTGACAGATAAGATGACGTCCCTGTTCTTGGCGGGGAGGATCTCACCGATGAACGTGTATGGCACTGCCGCCGGACAGGCTATGCTGACCAACAGTAATTTATGTGTTAAGGTGGATAAAACCTTTTTTTTCTTAAGACTAAGGAACTTAACGGAGTATATCTTGGAAAATACATATTTATTTATCGAAAAGTCATAGGTATATGAATGAGAAATCTAGTCACATTCTTGAGCCAACTAATAATGTTTTTTGATGACCTTTAGTAACTCGAATTGTAGAGAAACATTATATTTTCTAGGCCTTAAAATTAAGCTTATGGTCAGAAGGTTATATATTTTTTATAGATATTAAAGAATATATTTGGATTCACACACACACGTGCGTATAAAACTTAAAATGAAATTTAAAGGTTCCTGAACTCTTACCATAGCGCCGACATAAACTTTACAATTGCAAAGGTAATGAGATCTGGCATAAACGCAGCCACTATGCCAAATACTCCAGCAAGGAAAGATGCGATTATGACCATATTCTTACGGCCCCGAGTGTCCACTAGGTAGCCCCATGGAAATGATGTAGCCACGACACCTGGAACAAAATTTATTTTATGGTTTTAAATCCCCATGACTTGAACAGACTCTTCTAAAACCCTTATTATTTTTATGGCTTGGAACAGACTTTATATTTTCTTCTGATTGCTAGAAGACCTTGAAGAACATCCAGTCGTCTCTCAGATATTATTTAGACTTCGACCAGTTAATGGATATTCATTATTCTTTGGAGTTCTAGATGAATTGGAACATCTTTTACCAAAAAATACCGAAACAGACAGAGTCTAAGGGCTGATTTTTCAATGGTTAGATAAGTTATCTGAGGAATAATTATGACGCTGTCGCGTCAGAATGTTTGTATGGGACAGTGACAGCAACAATTTTATTCCTAAGATAACATTTATCTTACTATTGTAAAATCAGCCCTTAAATGTATTAAAATAGCCCATGACGAAAAAGTGTAATAAAGGTTTAACGTATTTAATCTACAATTTCATACAATTTAAATAAATTATTATTATGTTTAAGGCTTGCTCGTGTAACTCTTAGTCGAGAGTCTAGTTTCAAGCCACGCTAGGGACTCATACTCGTGAGCAGCATTGCTCGACACAAATGTCACACTGCTGTGTGCAGTGCAAATTAGTTACAGCACAATAATTAATTTTAATATGTCTGACGAAAGTTATATAGCTCGAAAATCAACGTATGAAGAAGGTGTAAGCAATAAGGTAAGATTTTATGAAATTTTGACTAATAACTGAAATAGATTTCGGCCCTGGTTGAGTATCAATGTGACTTTTGCCAAGTCATATGATTATTTACTTTCTATGATTATTTAAACACCGCTGACATACGGTGGTACAACATCGAGAGGAAACCTGGACTTACAATTTCTAATTATAAGTTCGAAATTGCCTATCCGCCTTGAGCAAGCGTGGTGATTAATGCTCAAAACTTCTCCTTGTGAGAAAACGCCTTTGCTCAGCATAGGCACCTGTAGGCTGATGATGATGATGAAGATGATGAAGATAACAGAACACCAAGTAAACATAGGTACCTATATAAGGTATAGATGCAATAAATCCTCTTTGGCTGTCAGTCATATCCAGATCACACATCGCTGCTGGCAGCACGAAGGAGTAGCCGACTGGTTCTATGATAGCGCCTATCAGGAACAGGGCCAATACTAAGGAATATTTAATGTTGTACCATCCTAGACCTGTAAGGTAAAAAAAATATTAGTTAATGATAATAAATAGAATTTAAAACTTCATTTGTTTCGTTTAATTTAAATGATGACGAAGTTATTTTGTAATCTATTTGCAAAAATAAAAATAAAACATTTCTTAATTTCAATTCATTACAGTGTTTTTATTTATTTTATTACAAAATACAAAAAAGCCTTATCAGAATGCCATGAAAATAGGTGGAATTAACGAATGTAACGTTTGTATGTAACGAAAAATCTTTGGAAACACTGGTCGGATTTCCAAAATTCTTTCACTGATAGATAGCTATAATATTTCAGAGTGCGTAGCTATAAAACATTACGCTACTATTAAAGGGAGCCGAACAGTGAATGTAATCACGCGAGATTGGCTAGTACCTATGTAGGTATTTAAAAGTTGCGTAAGAATCTACATTAGATTAAGAATATCTTTATACATATAAATAGGTATATAACAATCTATTTTGTAAAACAACTAGTCATATATATAAAGGGAATTGCAGTTCGTTAGTGTACGATAGCTCCTTTTGGTATAAGTGAGGAAACGAGATTGGACCTGATAATTTTTGTTATTATGATAATAAAAATTATCAGGTTTGTTTTACTTATATGTAAAACAAAAGGGTAAGTTGAGAACTAGTTACTCGTTAAGACACGAGAATAGCTATACTGGTAAAACGGTCACTAAATATAGAAATTATACATATTATACTAGTCACCCGCCTCGGCTTTGAACGGCTGATAATAAATATGCCCACTATTTAATGGATGTTATTATCCAAACTAATATTATAAATGCGAAAGTATCTCTGTCTGTCTATCTTTTTTTCACTCCTAAACCACTGAACCGATTTGTGTGAAATATGTTACAAACATAGCTGGCAAACTCGAGAAAGGACATAAGATAGTTTTTATACCAAAAATCTGCAGGAAGTCACTATTCCACGCGAACGGAGTCGTGGGCAAAAGCTATTAAGTACATTATAAAACTTCTCTTCAATCATTAAGTATCTCTTAAAAAAACACCTCACAATCCGTTGCCTAGTTTTAAACATTTAGGCATACATTGAGAAATAGGGACGGATAAAGCGACTTTGTTTTAAACTATGTACTTAAGGATTAAATTATATGGATGTTATAGCGTAAAAGGATTCTCATTTTGGTGCGAGACCTAAATAAAATCACCTCTAATGCTTGTGTAATAAGAGAAATTTTATACTTTATTTTTATCATTAAAGTTTTACTGTTTTTCTGATAAAAACGTAGATCTGTGCGCAGATTTTTGATCAATACTTAGCTGGTTTCAAAAAATAAGTAAATTACTACTATTCTTTATACTCTCTTGACAACGCACTTGAAAAATAATCACAAGATTGATAGCACCATATTGATGCTAATCCTCATTTATATGTTGTTGATGTTATGGATCAAGAAAATACATAATTGTCATTGTCATTAAATATCAAGGTCCACTGCTGATAAGTGTTGCGAAATTTATAGCTGTAGCTATCTAACAATTGATAAGTATACAATTTCCCTTTTGAAAAGAAGGTTTTCAAAATATTATTCAGTAGTTTAATAACTGAAGTTAATCACGTTTCTAACAAAATCTGTTCTAAATTCTAAGTTTATGATCGAAAATAGTTTTAAGGTAAATACAATTTTTAGACGATGGTGAAATATGTTGTTCAAAGATTTTGAATAATATCTACTAACCAAAATATTATTTTAGCCGAGTCATGATTTTTTTTTGTGAAGAACTTCACTACGAGTCACTTTTCTATCCAATATTTTAAAACATTATCTTTTTAAAACAATTTCACGCCCGATTGGAGGCAGATCAAAAGATCCTATTCCTAATTTATAACGATGAACTCTGTGTGGTGAGGGTCAAAAGTGCTATTGCAATTTACCAACTCAATTTTTAATTCTTGAGGGGCACAAATTCCTTGTCTGATTAATTTGTAGCATATAATCTAAAGTGGTTAGAGTAACGTTTTTCTTAGATTCTTGAACATGTTTTACAAATAAGTTTAAAGCATTTTCGCATTTTTTTTTATGTTATCGGTCGGCAAACAAGCAGACGGATTACCTGATGGTAAGCAATCAGCGCCGCCCCTGGACACTCGCAACGGAGGAGTTACGAGTGCGTTGCCGACCTTTTAGGGATTAGGGATTTGGAGATTTTGGGATTGAGGAGGGATTGGGGAAGGGGAAGGATTGGGCCTCCGGTAACCTCACTCACACGGCGAAACACAACGCAGTGGTTATTTCACGTCGGTTTTCTGTGAGGCCGTGGTATCAATCCGGTCGAGCCGACCCATTCGTGCCGAAGCATGGCTAACACTTAAATTGCATTGCATTGGTAGGGTTATTGTTTTTTTTTTCACATGAAAATTGATATCTTAATAACTAAAGACTGTATTATAAAAGGATGGCATTACCTGCTACTGCCAAGGCTTGATCCAGATCAGCTGCATAGTTGTCTTCTTTTTCCACATTCTTGCTAACTGTATTTATGTTGTTTTCCATTTTGTACCCATAAAACTTACAAGCAATTAAAAGAATAAAATCACACTGATATATACCTATTTGTTAACCAGGCATTTTCCCTTTAAACTGGAGTTAAAAAACAAAAAAATAAACAAAGCGAATTATGTAGATTATCTTTTATAAGTACCCGTCCGATTTCAACGAGTGTTACGACGCAAAGCAGTATAATAACCATAAAAGTGAATTATTTAACCCAGCGTTTTTATCATTAATTATTTTGTGATAGTGTCTTACAACAGCATTTATTTCTAGATTATAATATTTTACTAACGTTAGTCGATGATATAGCAATTTCTACTTACCTGAATTAGGAATTTAAACATCTGTTTATCGGCGCCGGTTTTAGACAGAAACTTATTTTTTTTTTGTGACAGGACAGCATACGGTCATACTATTACCTGATGGTAGGCATCGGCCCCCTATAGCAACAACGGAGTTACGAGTGCATGATTTTTGTTATTGTCGATTGCTAACATTTGTTAAATTATAATCATTATCGTAATTATCATCGCTAAGCCTGTGCTTATTTACTGCAAAACAACTCCATGTTATTAGAATCTAAACGAGAAACCGATAAATTACATTCTCTTGTCAATTTTAAAACATTTTTAATTCATTAACTATAATCTTGAATCTTAAATGACATAATCGACATGATCTCTATCTTTACATAGTAACTTTAATCTTTATTTTTTCAGACACCCGAAACATTTTCTATTTGAATGATTTACTCCTGACTTAGTTTTGTTTGTACAAAATATTTTGTCCCTAAAAACTATTTGTTGGGATGCTAAAACATCAATTTCCTTTCTAAGGTTCCGTATGATAAGCTGTAACGGGATTAATTCCTTTTCATAGAATTGTAGTATACTAAGTTCAAGTTCACCATTCTTAATGACTTCATGAGATTTTGTAGATTTAAAATTGGTGAGTTCCCCTTCTGAAATAATATTAGGATTGTTGAGTAACTGATTGTGAAATAAATTGACACGACATAAACCAACTACTTACCTTTGGGGTCTGTGGATTTCCGTTTACCGTTTTCGGTCACAATCTGAAACCCAGATTCGCTAATAGAAGAACGTTTATCTTTTGTTTTTTTTATTTCAATATACATTTCATGTTCCTTATCTACAGGAATGCGTATTTCGTTTGAAATCCTGATTTCGGATTTAACTATTGTTACCAAATCATTTGGTAATAGCTTAGGCACATGTTTAGTATCGAATGATGTAATAATTCGTTCATTTTTATCATTAAGATGACTATAGAATCCGAAATCAACAGGAATTGAGTCTTTATTTAATGTGCGTTTTAATGGTTTATCATATTGATCAGAAGATAATATCGGAATATTTGTAGTATCGGTTATTTCAGTAATTACGATTCCAAAATCATCGTTTGAATCTGTGGTTCCATTCAAAGTTTTTGGAGGTTCTGTAATTATTTCAACGTCGTTGTTGCCTCTATTTATAGGTAACACTAATTCAGTAGTATCTACTCTGTCATAATTTTTAAAAGACGACATTGATCCAGCAGATTTTTCTGATTCATTAGTAATACGTTTTGTTCCAATTATTTTGTCATATTCATTGGTAAGTTTTATTTTATCTTGATCAACTTTTGGAATCTTTGCAAATTTAGGAGGGATGTTTCTAGGAAATTGATTTATTATATTAATTTCTTTACTATCTTTGTTTTGATTTCCTATAAAGTCTATTTTATAATTATCATGGAGTGTTGGAGTTTTTATTTCTTTGTTTAGAAATAGCGCGTCTGTATAATCTTTACCGTTACCGCTTACAGATTTTTCATCTTTATCCCTTTTGTACACAAAAATAGGTTCATTATACGATTTATTTTGTAGATCATTTGTCCAATCAGTGTCGCTGCCTAAAACGCCGGTTTTCAGAATTTCACTTTTATCTGTATCTGTTTCTGAATCGAAACTTTTTTTCAAATGTTTCTGATCACTGTATCGCTTTTCTGTATCAACAAAGATGGGTTTCTTCGCTTTGTCGTCAGACTTATCAGTTAACCTTTGAGTATCTGAATATTTTGGTTCTGAGATACTGCTATGTTTTACTATGTCTTCAGGAATGGACTCTCTTGCTTTAACTTCAGACGTATATGAACTTTGAGTATCTGAATATGTTAGATCGGAGACACTGTTATGTTTTTCTATGTCTTCAGAATTGGACTTTCTTGTTTTAACTTCAGACGTATCAAGACTTTGAGCATCTGAATGTGTTTGATCTGAGATACTGTTATGTTTTTCTATGTCTTCAGGATTGGACTTTCTTGCTTTAACTTCTGACGTATCAAGGCTTTGAGCATCTGATTGTGTTTGATCTGAGATACTGTTATGTTTTTCTATATCTTCAGGAATGAATTCTCTTGCTTTAACTTTAGAGGTTTCAGGGCCTTGAGTACCTAAATGTGTTAGATCAGAGACACTGTTATGTTTTTCCATGTCTTCAGGAATAGACTTTCTTGCTTTAACTTCAGACGCATCAAGGCTTTGGGCATCTGAATGTGTTAGATCTGAGATACTGTTATGTCTTTCTAAGTCTTCAGGAATGGATTCTCTTGCTTTACCTTCAGACGTATCAAAACTTTGACTATCTGAGTGTGTTTGATTTGAAACACTGTTATGTTTTTCTATGTCTTCGGAAATGGAGTCTCTTACTTTATCTTCAGACTTTTCTGTTTGTAATGGGATTCGAGTATCTGTACTTTTAATGTCTCCGGAGCGGAGATAGTGTTCTGTTACTGGTACATTCTGTCCTGAATTTGTTTGTTTTAAATTTACTTCGTCGGGTGTGACTTCTGCTTCGCCTATTATATTTATTGGAATTGGGAATATTTTGTTTTCAATGTTTTCCAGGGGATATTTATCTTTTTTAAATTCTGCTTCATTGTCACTTTGTGGTTCTGTGTCACTTTTTGAATCCGTTTTTTCAATAGTTTCGGTAACAACACTGTGATCTATACTTTCTGATTTTTCCAAATTTCTAACTTCGGAGGTTTTACCTGCTAATATACTTGCGACAGACAATTCCTTTAATTCGTTTTTTTGTAAGTCAACTATCCGAGATGACTTTGATTCTGTATCCCCATTTTTATTTGGTGGTTCACCTACGACAATAGGATCTAAATAAACTATTTTAAATGACTTGATGGGATCTACTACAGCATCTCCTGTAGACGAATCTTGCAACTGAAGATATGGTGTTTGAGTACTTTTTGAGTTTACATTGTCTGGTAAGTCTTGACTTGGTTCCGAATTCACAATTTCAGCGATTTTGTTATCGTTTGAGGTCCAAATAACATTAGTTTGTGCAGAAATTTCAGAGTCTGGTTTCTTAGATTTTATTGGAATCGGAATAGGTACAGGCATGAATCCAGGGAGCTTATATTCTCTGGGAGTATCTTTGTCAGATGAATGACGTTTTGTTTCATTCCGTTTTATTTTATCATCTTCTTTATCACGGGCTACGCCTTTTGGAGGAGTAAAATAAGGTTCTGAATGTTCATTGGAAGATTTTCTTGGTTTATCTTCACTGGGGCTTTTAACTTTATGATCACTAACTTTTAAACCACTTGATATTTGTGGAGGGTAAGTTATAATGGAATTGGAATGAGTGCTTGGGGAATTAACCGATGGTTCTCCTTGGAAAATGTTAACAATTGAATCCTTTTGTTCTAGTGGTGGTGTATTTGTGGATTGTTCACTAGATTTCCGTTTTTTCTTGAAGAAGCTTCCATCAAATATTGAATTTTGTTTTGCACTACCTTTAGAGCCTTCGCGATTGCGAAGTATATTAGGTTGCTTAATACTATCGGTATCACATCCGACAATTTCCTTATCTGGAGTCTTTTCTTCAGTTAGAATGACGTTTTCAGGTATATTTTTTTCAGGCTCAGGTTTTCTACTCGGTTTATAAGAATATTTGTCCTCATTGAAAGGTGGATCTAAACATCCTCCTGTTAAATTGAAACAGTGTTAAATAATATGAATATAATTTACGTACTTTTTATATCAGTGAAGTAAAGTAAGTTTTAAACAATTCACCTGGTTTACATTTACCAAAAAAATATTTTTGTTCTCCAGATTGCGTTTTGACAATGTTATCTTGATTAACGTTTTTGGATAGTGTAAATGTGTGCGTTAATGTACTACTTGATTTGGTCGTTTGACTTGGTTCAATTATGTTAGCACTATATGATGAACTAGGTATATAAGTATCATCATCTTCCAATGCTCTTACACGCGACCCTGTAATCATGACAAAATTTTAAGATAAAACACATAGTAAAAATATGTACATATAAATAAAAGAATCCAAAAACGTTTACACCTAAATGTCATGTACAAATCGAAGTGTTTCCCTTAAGGACTTATACTCGAATATACCTGGTTTTAGCATATCGAAAATTTGTTTACGGGTTTTCCGCGGTGGTGGCTTTTTATCAAATTCTGCATCCACGTAAATATCGAAATTTATGATCGTTTGGTCACTGCTCACTAGTCGCACTTGTTGTAAATCTTTCCTATGTTCTGTTTTTGTTGATGCGTATTCTTGATCGTTATCTTCATCTTTTTTCCTTACTCTTATTTTCACATTAAGTGGCTTAGTTTGAGAGGCACTGGTGGCATTATCTGACTTATTTCTAGGAACAGCTTCGACATCAAATGCTAATTGTTGCATAATTTGTTCAACAACATCTTTCTGAGCATACATACTGAAAAACGCTACAAATGGAATTGGAAGTTTTTAGGAACATTACCTCCTCTCTTATTAAATCACTACTATTACTCTAAACCAAAGAAGACTACTGTAGAGACCAAATTAAAATCACTGACATGTCGTTAGATGCATCTCCGAAAAGGAACTTATCAGTGTATAGGAAAAGAAAAGGATTTGACTGCTCCTGTTGCGCATTAGCCAGGCAACCAACTTGTGATTGTGTTATTTATGTAAGTTTGTATGTTTTTAAACGAACTCATGACACTAGAGACGATTTTAGTGTAATCCTAATTACGGTACAAACAAGTTAAAGGAAAAATTAATGAAAGGATGAAAAAAAAAATAGAGATAAACCCAGTGCTGTAAGTAATCCAGTAGCCAAGCATTTCGTAAGTTTGATTACAATATGAAGTTAAACCTATGCTCGCTTGCTATTTCATATATTTCCAATAATAAGTGTGGCTAAAACCTATAACTGGAAATAAAATTGTAGTAAGTAAAACCTTAAACTACTTATGTATATTGGGTATACATAAGTAGTTGGAATAACATCAGGTTATATATTATTATTACTAGAAATTACACTTCCAATTTACGACTCGGGCTGTTCTTTTGAAGAAATATTTTTAATAAAAGTCAAAACAAGATAATAAATAACATTTCATAAATAATAATTTCACAAATAAATTTTTAACCCTCAAAGACAAAAGAATAAACAACACGATTTGATTTTGTGATTTCTTTAGATGTCGGAATTTCTGAAACAGTACACGTCGAAACAAATTTATCCACTAAGCTTTGTTCTGAAGGTTTTTTGTTGAATGTTATTCCAAGGGCGGAACATTTGCAAATTATATCACTTAGCATTAATTTTAGGGGTAAAATTTCCTTTTCAACAGTTTGCATGTATTCGGCTATTCTGATTTCTGGTGGGATTCTGCATTTAAATCTTAAGCGCTTCGACAATTTTGGTCTTGAGACATCAATACAAAGATCATTACACGTAGAAACTGCGTTACTAGTTGTAAAAGCGTTACTTCTTGACACAGCGTTGCTTGTTTGATTGTCGTGTGACAAATCACTTGGTGAGCTTGTGCTACCTAACCTTAGTGAGTCCTTAGGAGAATCATAAAACCTGCAGGTTACTGCTTTTGATGTCACTATTTTATTAATAACTGGTGGTTCTTGTGTACTTATTGAACAAATAGGACACAAGGATAACTTCTTCCCTGACCCAATTTTTTCTGTTGAGTTAGTTCCCACTGAAATATTTGCTAAAGCGTTACTACTTGTTTTGTTTTCGACGAAAATTTCTTGCAAATCTTCGGTGTTTGTTATTTCATCAATTGATATAATATTGAATATCGTACTTTTAGATTTAAGTTTCGTTATTTCAACAGCTGAAAATATTACATTTTTATTAAAAAACAATATTTGATACTGTTCTGCTAAATTGATAACAATTTAATCTTGGTATAAACCAAAATTCTTCAATCAAAATTCAATATTTTCCTCTTTTTTTCCGAGTGAGAATCAGACTTCGTAAGTCAAAAGTTATTAAGTAAGTACAATATAACAAATAAATACCTTTGTCTACCACTTTATTTACTTTCTCCTCTCTTATTTCATCCACCACAAACGTATTAGTCGATTTATGGGCAATAGGGTGGTTACGAAATAAATCAGGTGATATACGACCTTCTTTTAAAGCCTTAATGAGATCTTCTGTGGCTAAACCACCTTCAAAAGTTTTATTAAATATAAAAGTATCGCTTATTATTCTCGTCACATCGCCTGATCCGAGATTCACAGTTGACTTTGAAGATGAAATCAGCAAATCAACGCAAGAGTGGTACGTCTTAACTAGGCTGTTATTTGAAACTCTATCTTTTACATCTTGCCGTTTTTTTAAAATCACTTTATACGTCATTGGTATTGTATATTCAATAAAATTTGTTTCTTTCTTCCAAGTAAGTTTGTCAAGATTTTGTAAACAAGATACCTCTGGTACAATTTCTAAGCAACACTTTGAATTGTTTTTAAGTTTTTGTAATAAGGGTGTGAATTTTATTCTCAAACACGCAGTATCCATTTTTGACAACGTTTAACAAAAAAAAACCTGGAAAGGAGTAATAAAAAAATAAAAAATTAAAAATAATTGGTAACTTTCGAGCAATAAGTTCAAAGTAAAGTAAAAAATCTCCTGAGTATCCCAACCTAAATATTTTTATAAGCGCATCTCTTTGTTTATCACCACAAAAATAGAATTACCACTAACACAATCAACTAGGCAAAATACCTGGTATACCTATAAAAGGTAATTTGTAAAACTTACCAAAAAGAATCAAAATTATTCGAGAAGTAAATAATGAAGAAATTGTATACACATAATTTTGATATTCAAAAATATTGTTATGAGACTAAAATTTCGAATACATTTGGTAAATAAATATTAATTTATCATTGTTATATTACCGAAATTGTCTATTTTTGTGATCAATATGTTATTGTCATAAATTGTTTTGCTTTTTATTTTTTAAATGTCAAATGGTTATTAAATGTGCAAATGCTGTTAGCAAAGAGGTCAGGTTTTTTATGGATTTATTTAGACAAATAATATTAGAAAGAGGTAGTAAGTTTGTATGTAGGGGGTAATCTTTGGAACCGCTAGTCCGATTGCCAAAATTCTTTCACTGATAGATAGCTACAATGCTCCTGAGTGCTATAGGCTATAAAACATCACGCTACGATCAAATGGAACCAAGCAGCGGGTGAAACCGCGCGAGAGTAGCTAGTTGTCTATAACTACATACCTTATCCACTTTTTTATTGTATTTAATTCGAGATGATACGGTAGACGTGAAAATATAACAAAATTTCTACTCTTTGCGGGACATCGCCAACGCCTCTTTCTACGCCGCTCGGGAGGTCGGTGCGTAGCACCCAATCGTACCCGATGTTCCACAGGAGAGGTCCCAGGACCGATCCCTGTGGAATACCGCGCGACATCTGTCGCCGATTCCACACGCCCCGGTGACCGGGGTAGATGACGCATCTGTCCGTCAAGTAAGCCTCGACTACACGACGGAGATAGGCAGGCGACCGGTGATACCGGAGTGCCTCCAGAATGCAGCTCCAGGGCAACGAGTTGAAGGCGTTGGCGATGTCCAGAGACACCGCCACGACGACTCGCCCCCTGGCCAACGCAGTCCCCGTCGTGAGGTCCCTCACGCGCATGATGGCGTCCACCGTGGAGCGCCCTCTGCGCAAGCCGAACTGGCCGTCCGCTAAATCTGATATTATCCTCTCGAACAGTTTTCCCACCTCGTCGAGCAGCACTATGGGCCGGTACGCGGACGGAGAGTAAAGGTAACGTAAGGGTGGATTTAAGTCAGTAAGAGTCTGACGTCTGCGTCACCTAGGACGCGAAACCGTATGATGATCTTTCCCCCTCAAAAAAAAACCCTGTTACCTCTCCTGGGTGAACTCGACCCGCAAACCTACATGAACAGTTTTTAGTAATAATTTTATTAAATATTGTCAGAATAGTTGAATACAACAAGGAAATAGTTGGTTTGTTATAATAAAACGACGATAGAGTTATTCACCTTTTAATTCCAAAAAACTCTTGCTACTTCGCAATACTTACACATCACCATCAATTCTTTATAAATATTATGTACTTACTTATATAGTTAGTTATAATTTTTACAAGTTTTAATTTTACGATATGCGACGATAAGTTATTGCTCCTAATATTTTATTAAATACTAAATTCCTGAATTATCACTAAGAACTCGAATAAATAATCTAAGAACAATAATTGATTTGGTAAACAATTAAAACAATATTCGTAACTTAAAATAAAAATGTATAAAAGAAAATAAACCACGATCACAGATTTGTTTGTTTTTCAAAATAATACACAAACATGCGTTTTGCAATCAGTTACACAATTAGTGAATTTTGTACAATATTTTTATTTATAAGTTGTTTTATTCTATCAATTCTTGGGCAGTATTTTTTAACCATAGTAAAAATGTATTAATTTCATACATAGGTACAATTTTTTAGGTAAATAGTTTACAATGCATTCGCCACAGTCTCGGACGTGGTCTAATCTTAATTCTAATTGTAATTAATAAATATACAGGTCCTACAGTACGCACATACTAAAACTAACTATAAAATATATCAGAACTACCGAAACAACCCTGCAATTAAGGTCTGCGAAGCGTCTTGAAATCATGGCATAACTTACTTATAAGTTAATAAAATTATAAAATTTAACGGAGTAAGAAATATATAATCAATACAAAATGTAAGTATAATTTTGGCCATAACAAATTTTTAAATGTTCACAGTTATGTAACTTTAATATCTACATTTTAAATATTAGGAATTTAAAAAGAACTCGAGCGCGATTCAAATGACCAAAAAGAAAAAAAAACCAAATACACGCTTCTCATTGGCTGACAATTTCGCCCAGAAGTAATCGCAGACTGAAATTCGAAAAGCCAGGCACATTATAAAAAAGTATTTACATTTATAAATATAGATTAAACCTAAGTTAAAATAAGCGTATTGTATTTTTTTAATTAATTTCTATTTATATATAATTTTACGTACGCTAAGGACTAGATTTTTGAGATCACTCTGAAAGCCAATTTTCTTTGTTACTGTCTTATATTTAAAATGTATTAATATTAAAAGGATTAAAATTAAAAAATGATTACTAAACGATGTTTAAGAAATCCAACCGATATTTAGTATAATGTTATTTTTTAATTAAGCTTCAATACCTAGTTACTTTAGGCTGTATTAAAATTATTTCTGCTTTCAATTCGATTATAAAGTTTTCTATTACCAAGGAACTGTTTATCAATAGTCAGTTTTTACACTCGATTCCTATTTGTGAAACTCTCAAGTTTCTTTTTATTATTGCCTACACCATATTTATTACTATACAATTAATTCTATGCGAGATTTAGTTTGTCGGTACTTTCATTATATTATATTACACTATATTAGTATATCTGACGTACCCAGAAACATTTAACGATTACTTAATTTATTCCTTCGTGACAAGTTTGTTCTGTTTGTAAACAATTGCTAAGAGCTAGGCTAAGTGACGATTAAATGACTCTGAGTACGGTTTAAGTATACGATAATGTTATTCTATTAAATCATATTAAATTATTAATATTGCATAATCGTCCCACCTATTTACCACTTTCGTGACAATTTAACATACAAGCCTAACCCTATTCAAATTTGTAACTTCCATCGTGCTCTGACTTACCCATTTTTGGGTAAATTCACTCAATGTTGGTTCCACATTAGGCCAAATATATTAAGTATTAAAAAAATTGCGCTTTTAAATTTAGAATTAACCTGTACTACATTTTTCTTTAAATCGTGGGTTATCAATTGAAATAATTTTAACTAAAGAGAATTTTAAACAAATTACCAACTTTTTTTACAAAGGATTTGAGAAATTTTTACATCCCATAATACACTGTAGTTTGAAAATTAATGCTTGTCCAATTACAAACTCAATGTGGAACCATCACGAGGCCTTATAACTAAACACCAAAATGTTCATTCGATGCCACAAATCACTACTAACGTTGGCAGCATTGTCGTGGAATCACACTATCGCAAACTATGGGGTTTCTAGCACAATACCTCTATTTTTTCATCTACAGAAATAAGAAATATTTAAAAAATACTGGTCAATTAATTTGTGCGTATTTTAAATCTCTTGCAACGTGTTACTACTGCTAAAAACCGTTTTTATCCACCAGCAACTCTAGATTGGTCTTTTGGTACACAAGACTTTTAAGTATTCGAAAAAAAAAGAATTCGAAAGTCAAACATTATTTAATACGCTCTTCTTTTTAATTTCATGCAATTGTTAATAATAATTTAAATTTTTGAATTCTTTTTTTAAATCGAAATGTGTGTAAGTCAGAGGTGCTGTGTTATAAAATGGGTTTACACTACAATGCTAAAAAACGTTAAGTAAATGAGACGCAACATCGGGACAACATTTGACCGATCACATACATCATTCTTTACCAAACATTTACCAACCAACCGATTACCAAATACAAAGTTCAATTTTTTTATAAGTTTAATTTTTTATGGAAGTTATTGCGATTTTTTTGCTTTTAGAAGTTCATGCTAAGTTCTATCACTTATTGGGAGCTAAGAAAAAGAAAGGGTATTTTACTAGAATAAATTATTCTATCAGAATTTAAATATATTAATACAAGTAATGCAAACAGTAATGTAAAGATAAAATTGTTATCTTTTTTGCAATTACATAACTATACGGTTCACAATGAAAGTCGGTTATAATATAAACCACGTTTGACCCTTTCTTGTGCAACAACAGCTTAAATTCGCATTAAAGTTTACATTAGAAGTATGTAGGTAGCCTCCATTACTTCTATGTCTAAATAGCAGAAAGGCAATTTGATACTTGTAGTACCTACTTAAATGTTTCCTTAAAAAAAAATTGAGAAAATATCTTATCCAACAGTTTTTAAATTTTTTCTGCATAGTAACTATCGGGAGACATACCAGATTTATTAAAAAGGACGACACGCGAAGTAGCAGGGAAAAGCACAACTAGTTTCAAGTAACACCGGGGCTCTTACTTATGAGCAGAGTGCATGTTGCTGTGACGCATTCACAGTTCACTAGAATTCTCAGTTTTTACGCGAGTAACTCATTATTTTCAATAAATATTATAATATTTTGTTTAACTTGTATGTATGTATGTATGTGAAGTGGAATTTTGCAACTAATTGGGGTAATTTTTTAATAGATACGCGTTTATTTATTAACCTTAGAGCGAAGTTATATGGCTTCAACCCAGATCTTATTGACACACCTGATAAGAGTTTTTATGAAAAAGTTTTTACTATGAGGTACTGTTTGTGAAAAAACTAAACGTTTTATGAAAATATTCACGCTATAAAACATAAAAGTGATGGAGACTTAATTTTAATTACAGCTACATTCTATCAAGAATTTAATTTCACATTATAATCAAAGTTACTTATTACTTAAATAACATGAATAGGTCATTTTCAACAGGTTACTACTGTAATCTTAACTGACTACAAATATGAATATTACTTGTCTTTTCATTGTTTTATTTTTATCAAAATAAATCCTGCCGTGAAAGACGTCTAATTTAAATATGGAAAGAGACTGTTATTTTAAAATTATACATGGTGGCGTTTATGTGGTGGGCATTGAACGAGGAACATAATAATATTCGAAGACCCGATTCTGGTGCTGAAATAAAACAACTTTTTCCATAAGATCAATTTGGAAGAGAATCTCAAAAAAATACTTCTATAATGATCAATCAGCTGTTGCGATTTGTACGGGGAAAATAATTTTTTTTTGAAATTTTTTTTATTGGTCCCTTCGACAAAGTTGTTGTTAATGAACACCAAAATCTTATTTGAATATGTTTCTCGTACAAAATACCATCCTGTATAAATAAACTGTAGAAAATGACATATTCACGGGATCGAAAATTCCTAATTACGTCTAGTTTCTAGCTAGGGAAAATCCGATATTTCGGCATTGGCAGTTTAAGCAACTACATATCTAATTAGGTACACACTCCGTGCTTGGGTACTAGAGTTAGTACAATACAATTACACCACTATGTCTGGTCGATACAAAAATAATTTTATACACAAACTTACTCTATGACTAGGATCCAAAGACTAGATACCATAGACTAGATTCAAATGACTAGAATCACTCATCCTCCGTTAGGTTACACTTAGTATAATTAAAAAATAAATAAAGCGATGCAATAGGATTCTATAAACATTATTTTCTTATTATATAAATTTTATGTTATATTTACATAGTCTAGCAGAACTAAATATACCTATATAAAAGCTAATTTATGTTATGACGCACGAAACTGTAACGAAGCCATTGTAAACTAGATTAATGTATTTTATTTTTATGTCAGAGAACAACAAATAATGTTTTTTTTTCTCAATATAACAAAATAAAGGAATAGAATTGGAAATTAAATGTTGTAAATAAACGACAGTTACTTGACTTCTAATTTATAAATGGGTAAGCATTTATTTCGTAAGCATGTGTGATGGAATGGAATTTTCGTACAAACCGATAACATTATTTTATAGTTTGACCTTGGATTTATGAATTCGTTGTATGGAAAATCATATACCTTTTTTGCTATTGTATTATAATTACAAAAAAGTAAGTCTTAGCTAAGCTATATGAGGCATCACTGTATACATACGTCGACCACTTTAGAAATCCGATTTTTATCACCAAATAAATAATAACGACAATAATTTTGCGCTTTTTATCTGTAAAATACTCGTTTATTGCAAAACACGTCAAATTCGACCTAATTAACCATTTCAAATTAAATTTACCTTGGAACCACTTTTTTCAACCTTATCAATACTGGCCTTAATTGTCTGAACGTACCCCACTTGGAAACGAATGTCTCGCAACTAGCGACTTAAAACTTCAACATGATAGTATCGTCTTGGTAGACGCCCTTGTTACATGTCTCGGTGTGAAATGCGCTGAGGGGCGTTGGCGGGGCTCAGGTGCACAGTCCAGAATTGTCTACTAATGAACGGGCTAACACGTCGGCGGCCGCGATGTCACTCACTTTGCCCTCGAAATGCCCTCTCACATGGAACATGAACTCCGCTTTGCCTGCAAACTCTTGTCTGCACATAAGACACAGGTGGTGTGCATGCGTGTGCTGTCTTTCTGGTGCGTAGTGTGTGTGACCATGAGTGAAGTAAGCCCCGCCACCTCCACCGCCTCCTCCCTCGTTGACGACCGTCGCCGTAGACACCGAGGCTGTGGCGATCCCATGGCCATTCAGAATCTGCTGATTCTGGTTGTGGTGATGAAGTAGTTGCAGCTTCTCCTGATTTGATAGATGCACCTTCTCTTGTTGCTGGAAAAATAAATATAAATAATTATAGCAGTTGACTCTACTATTAATATTAGAATGGTCCTTCGATACGAAGTTGAGTACCAAGTATTTCACCTGATGCTGTGTGGCCTGTTGCATTTTGTCCTGCAGTAACTTTGTGTCGGGTAGGTGAGACTTTGCGTGTGCGCTCCACTCGTCCCTAGTCGCAAACAGTCTGCCACACAGTTCACACGACCACGACACGACCATACCTGCCGTAGCCGCAGCTACTGCAGCACTTGCTGCACTCGTGTGCACCAGGTTTGTATTCTGCAAGGCGGCAAAGGCTTAAATATTTGTCATTTTACAAGAAAATGTGTTTAAAAATTATCGACTTCCTTGAGAAAACAATAGGCTCCTCAATGTGCGTCGCTCATTAATTTACAAATTCAAAATACTTTCTTGTATAAATTTTGAAGCCTCATTTGCTGTACTTAAATTGCTTAATAGGTAATTTCCATTGAGGAAAGGACCAAGCAATTGAAAGTTTTTCTATAGTACTAAGGACACCGAAACACGAAAAGTCTAAATGATTTTTACAAAATAAAAAAATACTCTACAGACTGAGAACGAAAAAGTTAAAGATCCAAACATCTAATGATGAAATTGAAAATGAAGAAAAAGAAATGATGACTAAAGTTACCATACAGCAGCTCAGACCATACAGTATTTGTGATAGAAGAAGTAATAACGATGAAAAAGTGTAATAAAGGTCAAATGAAGGTTCATGCCGTTCACATCGATAACACCTACGAACCATGCCTTGTATTCTCATTGAATTTACCGTAAAGTTGTGTCCAGGTACCTGGCACACCTGGATCGGCTGTTGGTGTGAGTGTTGTTGTTGCTGCTGCTGCTGCTGCTGTTGTTGTTGCTGTTGCTGTTGTTGCTGCTGTTGTTGTTGCTGCTGCTGCTGTTGTTGTGCAGCTGCAGCCGCTGCTGCTATTTCCGCTTGACTTGGCTTGGTATCCTCTTGTTTTGTAAGTTGTGGTTTCACATCATCCAGTTTCAAAGCTGCGGAAAGTAAAGGATCTTCAGGGAGGTAACCCAAATGGGTCACTTTGTTGTTCGAATAATCAATTTGAACTACTCCTGGCAAGCCTACTTTGACTAAAATCGAGCAAAAACTAAAGGTTTAAGTAAATTTAAAGTTCATATTTTAGATTCTTATAGGCATTACGCATACATTGGAATTATAAAAGATTAAAAAAAATAGGAGTTTCAACTAATCCTCACAAGCAATAAAAAGCGCAATTTAACTTCCAATTTAAAAGAGATCTCACTCAATAACATAGCTCAATATTTGTTCAGCTCTACACATAGACGCTTCACTACCGTCAAAAACCTCACAACGGTAGTGATAAGATAATATCTTAAAGGTATCTATCATCACCATTACGAAGCATACTCACGTGGTATTGTGATGGTTCTTTTACCTAGAGGCGCTATGTTCGATGGTGTTATGTGTTTCAGTTTGTTCATATGAAGCACCAATTTATCTCTTCGTGCGAATGCCTTGTTACAAACTTCGCATACGTATGGCTTCTCTCCTGAAGGTAAAAAAAAACAATTATTAGGTGTAGGTTGTTTATTTGATTATGTACCTAAAGTATAACTTTATTCAGTTCAATTTTATCAAATGAATTTGTGGATACCAACCCACCTGTATGTATCCTCATATGAATTGTCAGTTTATCTTTGCGAGCCAACCCTTTCCCACACACTGTGCACTCGAATGCTTTGCTACCTGCGAAACAGATTTGTACTTTATTAGCGATTAAAAGACATTTTTATTTTAACGACCCTGTTATCTCATATCATTTGTGAAAAAAAAGCTTTAGGGATGAAGTTATAAAACAATGATTGGATATTTTTGGATTAAGAAAATTTACCTTCACTCGTAGAGCTTGTGGGTTTTATTGCTGGATGTTTCCTTACAGAAGTTGTTTGCAACGCTTTTAACCTAGTACCCGGATGCATTGATCCACCCTCCGCGTATGGTTCCGTAAATGGTATCAAATTTGGCCTTGGAATGTTGTGCGTTACCTCCGGTGACCTGGCGAAGTCAAACGAACTGTTTTATAAAAAAACATAATAACCCTTTCTTCTAACTGCCTCGGACAGAAAGAATAGTTGGGATATTATATTTTTGAGAGTTCACAAAAAATAAATAATTCACAACAAAATATCAAATGACATGCCAAAATTAAAACCAAGATTTAAGCAATGATTATAAGGAATGAACAAGAGCAATTAGCAAAATTATAAAATTAACACTCACCAATTTCCAAGACTTTGTAAAACTCGAACTCCTCCCTCGAATCCCATGCCGACATCATCAGGCACTGTAAACGTGCTGTCTGGTCCACCGGTACTCGAGCTTACTTGTGGTACTTTTATTGGAGAATTGATAGTAGCATAATGATGTTGCGTAGAACTAACTGTAGGTGGGGATGGATGACCTTGATGAGCATTGCCATTCTGACTTTGCTGAGGAAAAATAATTTGATTGGATTTCTGAAAAAAATAATCATGTTATAGCGTTGTGGTGGTAACAAAATAAAAATATGTAGTATGGTTTGAAAACCATACCTGCATTTCTTGATGATGTCTTGCGGCGTTATTGTTGTTATTATTTTGTTGTTGCTGTTGATGTTGTTGTTGTTGTTGCTGTTGTTGCTGCTGTTGTTGTTGCTGCTGCTGCTGCTGTTGTTGTTGCTGCTGCTGCTGTTGTTGCTGCTGCTGCTGTTGCTGCTGCTGCTGCTGCTGCTGCTGCTGCTGCTGTTGCTGCTGCTGCTGTTGCTGTTGTTGCTGTTGCTGCTGCTGCTGTTGTTGTTGGTGTTGTTGCTGTTGCTGTTGCTGCTGCTGTTCACGTCTGGCAGCGGCTGCTGCTTGTGCCATATGTTGTTGTACAGCAACATGGGCTTCCAAGTAAGCGGTTTTTTGAGCTTCCGTCATTTTGTCCATGTTTACTGTGCCATCCTGTGAACAATGTATTTTCATAAATAAAAAATCTATTCGCTCAATAAAACTTTACCTGTAGACCAAGTTAAACATGTCTGGGTATCCATAATCGTTTTTATTTCAATTGATTGTAATAAGAGTTGAAGATGCAACTGAGACAAGATTGTAAGCTGCCGAGATAGCAGGAAAAATTAATCAATTCCTGTCGTCTAGTCGGAATTACACCGCCTTCATTGAGTGTCTTTGATGCGGCTGGAGGGCTGAGGGAGGGTCGCGTTAGGGTGGGCTCCCCCGCCAGTGCATTCACCCCGCAGAAAGTGAGAACGGCCCCCTAAAGTACCCCGACTTTCATTCCGTAACACGATGTTTGAACACCCTATGCTTAATTGCCTAAATTCGGCACGCGTGCAGTTCAATGACCTCGGATATGACCAAGATGGGGAAACGGATCTATGACGTATCAGATTTGCCGGGTTCAAAGAACTATTAAAGGCTCGTAGTAGTTTTGGAGTTAAGATTTCCAGGTTAAATAAGAGTTGAGCGTGTAAGGTTCGAATAAATACAATGAATATAGGCATAAAGTGTTCAAAGAACTTTGCAAAATTCAATACTAAAGTAACCAAACACAACAAATCAGTAGTTCGCAATTTGAAACATTTACGCATGGTACGAATTCAATGATTTTACCAAATCACTACTATTTAGATTAATATTTGAGACTGGGTTGGTCCAGTTACAGACCAGCCCACGTGTCGCAGGTTCATTTCTCGCACGGAACAACACTTTCTGTGATCCACAAATTTTCGTTACGATATGGGTTCATGTGAAATTGTATTTTTGTAAACGCACGATACAGGAGAAAAATCTAGTATAAGGGAAAAGTGTTTGTTTACTAAGAAATAAGATTACCAGCACCCGTACATGTATAGAATAGGATTGATTGTCTTACTGTTTGTATTGTAAAAATTGTTTCTTAACTATTTTCTGTCGTCAGAAATTCGAATTTCAGCTCCGTTTAGGAACGTTTAAAGGACTAATCCAACCATGAAGTTGTATTAACAACAACGTGGTTGGGGTTCATGAGCACATATGTGCTCAAAGATGCATAATCAGTCTAAGGATTCGTGGCCTCTGGGATATAAATTATACTCTTTCAAATTCACATTCATTCATTATTCAATGGCCACTTTTTACTAATCCACTATTAAATTTTAAGGATGCAAGATTTAAGTAACTTACTTGAACTTCTATTTTTAAGTGTCCAGTGACTTTTATGCTTTGTTTCCTTATTTTGCTTATTATACCAAATGAGACAAATAAAACAGAGATTTTAAACAGTTATTTAGAATTTCTGTACAGTTATTCAACATTTGCTATTGTTTGAATGTTCTGTGTTTGTCCCCTCGAGGGAGGAAATTGCGATAGGGTCCGGGAAGCCTCGGGGGGCCTTATCACTCATGCACTGATTAAAAACAAACTTACCTAAACGGAGGGTTTGCATATGGGGTACTGAGATAGGGTGAAAAATTCTCGCAGAACAAACTTACACGAAATATGAGATGTGGATCATTTTTTTTGTACAGAGATAGAGGTGCCGGTGGATGAAATCGATTTTATCAAGTTTTGTGAATAAGTTATTCTAAGTTTCATATATTTACACATTTATTTTTATAATATTTTATGAATATGCAAAAAAGTTTCAATAATTCTTTTGATTCGGTAGTGACAAATCTTTATTATGTCAAAAAAACTAAAATTTATTATACTTAAAACAATGTGGACATTACTTACTTAGTTGAAAAGCATCATAAATGGTGTTAAAATTAATAAATATAAATAATAAAAATAAAATCTTACTCCAAGATCCCATAATTGATTGTAATAGGAATTCAGACGCATCCTATGCTAAAAACACTGAGTTTACTTTTGTAAAATCACCACAAGTTTGAAAAATACCGACTGGGAACCGAACAACATGGTTTGGTACAGAACGAAAGTACTAGGCGCGCATACTTTGAGAAGCGGTTGTGAAAACCCAAGGGCGGCGCGGCGGAGCGCGGAAGGGCGTCTCGAGGCGGGCGCCCTCCGCCGTCACTATGCACTAAGTGGTAAGTGCAAGTTAACCGCTGGCGAGCCTGCAAGTCTCATCGATCGCATACACTTTCTTTTGCCACGCACCTGAGTAAGGAATAGGGGACTGTCTGGATCGCTAAGTGCTACGAAGAGATTTCGGCACAGCGGGGGTCTCGAAAATGAACTTTAATGTTTAGTTCGTAGGTGCGTTATTGTTAAATTCACACAAACTTTTTTTGTGTATGTATGTCTTTTTGTTATCTTATTTATTAACCCAAGATTTAAATATACAGTAATTCATTAATACATAGTATAACAAATAAAAGATGTGTTTTGTAACAATACCAAAATACAATCACATTGGAAAATGCAAACGTTTTCTTATTGATTAAGTACTTAAACTATGACCATATACTTCGTACTAGTAGAAGGTATTTATAAAGTAAAGGTACTTATTTACAAGGAATAACAAAGTTTGTTTAATTCAAAACATTCGTTGTAGGTACAGAATGACTTATTCGACTTTATGACTCACTTTGGTGTCGTAACTTTTAATACTTTATGTAGTAAACCGAATTTTTTCTCTTTTATCGTTGTTTTCATGGTGATTTCGCGTGTTTTCAACAACAAAACTTATGGGAACGACAGTAATTGTTCCTGCATGTTTGTTGTTAAGCTTAATTGAGAAAGATTAAAGAACCATGATACTTTAATTCTTTAATCCGTAGAAGCCATGATATTCATTTCTTATTTTGAGGAAAGTTTGTGGAAATCATTTTGTCTATAGAGTTTCGTGACAAATCTCAACGGTTATGAATATGTTGCTTTTTGAAATTATTTTGAATGGTTGGGTTACACAAAGCCATAGGCACCATTTTCAAAGCGCAATGTTCACCTCAATAATTCCCGATCGATACAATATTAAATAAGTAAATATAAAAATATTTTGATAATTTGATAGATAAAATAATAACACAATATAATAACTTCTGGGTACTTTCAGCCCTAATATTATTATTTCCCTTCATGTCGATAAGGTTTATTAAAGTTAATTTAGATCGATATTAGATTGTTAATATTCCTCGCTGCGGGATACTTTTATATTTATCTTATCTATGGATGACAGTTTTTGGATAACGATACATTTGTTTTTCACACGTTAGTATCGATATCTCTGGGAATTATTGTTGGGTAGTTAACAGGTAGGTAGGTACTTAAGTACGTACCTAAGTGGCTAGGTAATAACGGCAGTCGAATTGCGAATGTTTTTGTACAGGAATTTAAGAATATTAAGGTTGAATTTCTTAAAATTCAAAAGTTTCAATTATATCATATGTAAGTATGTGCTTTTGAAATGTTAAATCTTCTTTTCTTAAAAATTAATTGAATTGCTGTTCGTCAGTCTCACTTAAACTCGGGAACAGCTGGACTAATTTGGCTAATTCTAATTTTGGTCTTGAAATATTCGTGAAAGTCTAGGGATAGTTTAAAAATCAGAAAATATGTTTAATTTTTTAGCCAGTATAGGATCACCTGAAATAAAATGAATATTCCTTTAGTCTTACCATCAGTGAAGCTAGGTACTCGTTCTGAAACGTAGATTTGAATGGAGCATAACAAGCAAAACAAGAAACTCTCAATCATCCAAAGTATAACTTTTAAATCCATTTGAAGAAAACAGCACTACCTACTCATAATATGTTTAATATTAGCAATAAATAATATATAATTAAACCTCCTTAGTTGGCAAAGACGCAATAACAATTATATTATAAGTAGGTATGTATAGCGCAGCAGTTGTCGATGCTTTGGACGCTGTAATGTACCTAACGCGACCACCGTCCGCGTCCGTTCTTAATTAACGAAGTCTCGGACAAACTTCGGCAAGTAAGGAAACTAGTTACAGTTCCAGTTCAAAGTAATAACACTTCATCAAAATACATTAAGCTGTTTGTAATTTAGATGTGATATGCTTGTACTTATTAAGTAGACTAAAAATTCTTTTACATTTTCGACACTAATGTTTAACGCAATGTAGTTATAAACCGAAATTAATTTGAACTTCATAAATAAAATACTTCAAAAGCCCTTTAGAAATACGTCTCTGTGCTTAGATAGCTTGAACATGAGATGTAGTCGCGACTGTTTTGGTGTAGTGCAAAGGATCGATTTATGTGTACCTGTCTGCCAAAATTTATAGCACCGTGCCACCGCGTACTGCAAAGTTTAAAACTTTACTGTGGTTATAAAGTTGCGTATTTAGGTAATCTGTTTCAGCTGTATGCCATGTGATGTGACGAGGGGAAGGCTTCAACCGTTTCAGTGCAAGTGGTGTTCAGGGTAGGTCGTGCGGTCCCCCGCGGGGTGGAGGGAGGCCGTAGTAGGAATATCCTTCACCTCCCGCGCTAGGTCAGGGTTAACGGTACCCCCGAGCTCGGGTGACGGAGCCACCTTCGACCTTGGATGGGATGCGTGCGTTAATGCACTTTGTATAAATACACTGCCACCAGAATTAGCACAAACAGAATTAACAAAATAAATCGCTTTAAAAATTGAGGTGATTGTGGGATGACGATAGCACTTGTTTATTGAAGACAGGATGATTCATGTGCTTAGTAACATGAATGCCTACATGCAAACTTTAGAAAGTGGAGATTCTTACTGTAACTTTTAAAGGTGTTTTTATAAACACAATATTAAAACGGCCAGCATGAGAAGAATCCAATCTGCACAATCTGCCACATGCAGACATTCATGTAAGTAAATTACAGGCGACGTCATAAAAACAAAACGTCCGTGGACATGCGTAGCCAATTCCCGCGTTGCGAACAACCGTAGTGCGCAGCCAGAATCGCGAACAACCTTATAACAATTGCTTTAGAGTAGATAATTCATTAACTTAAACGGCTACGTGGAAACGAAATATATGCATTCGGTAATAGTTCACAGAACGTCTTTATTAAGGTTCAAAATTGGTTTACGAACAGTAATTCCTTTCAAGATTTCTCAGAAGCAATTTTTAGCGTTAGTGCGAAGGGATATGGTTGAGATTTGCGTGAGAAGTTAGATCGGGTGGTGGGTGGCAGTGGGTCGATACGAGCCGGGCGTCGGGCGCGCCGATCAATAGTGGAGAGGGGCGCTACCCCGGCGACGGACCGTGCATCGCCCGCCGCGTGCCGACACACTCGACAACAATACATTTCATATCTAAGAGCCTTACTTTGTCAACAGATAATGAGAGGACATCTCGAGAAATCTCTACGAATATGTAGTCGAGGAGAGAATGATGAAGACGTGGTATATATTCGTATGCTCCATCTTTACCTTGTTATGTAGGCTTCAAGGCCGCGCGCATAAAGAAGCACCTGTTTTCATCTATTTTTAGAATTTTCTGAGAAGCGAACAACGAAAACATTTTCAAAGAAACATCCTTTCGTGTCTCTTTGAATAAGCGATGTCACAACACATAAGTAGAAGGCTTAATGTTTCATGAGTATAAAAATAGATTACGTGCATCGATTTTTCTTTATCTAATCCGCTACAAAGTCATACGATGACTACAGGCGGGTTTATTTTTTGTTGACAGCATAATACCACAATTTTCTCTGTTCTTACCATTCTTACTGCTTCAATGTCAACAGTCCATTTTTGGAGTAGGTACTAATCGCCAAACTTGAAGGTTGTAGTTTAAGGGTTCAGGTTTATGAGAAAATGCTGCTATCTGATCTCTGTCAAGCGTTTATACCGATCCATAGTCGGTACGCGCGGAAAGAGTAATGAAAAATTTATTCTACTTTATCTAGGTATCTACTGCATTCGATAATACGTCACTATAGAGAACGTATTACCCTGTGTCATTCAAAATCAGTCTGTTTCCATCAATATTGTGTTGCATGTCATTGTTGGCTCGACGTGTCATTATGTAAAAATATGCGTGCAATCCTGTTCTCTGCCCCAAGAGATGCGGTCAAGCCGAATTCGGTTTGGTGAATATTTGTGTGCACAGAGTAATTACTGTCCGTGCCGCTCAGTCTGGACATCAATTTTTTTTTATAGAAAGTAATATTGACATTCTAATTTCTAGTTTTTAGTCTATTGATACCTATTTGTCTACATTATTAATTATGGTTCATTTAAGCTGCGGATTTCAAAGTAAGTATGTATTTGGACTTGAACTTTAGTCGGGGCTGCGTATCAAGCCCAGTAGTATCGCGGCCTCAGCTTGACGAAGAAGAAGGATCGGGGTGGTTTTTAGTCAGTAAGAGTCTGACACTCTGACTGAAAAGTCATTTGATGATTTTCCCATTCAAAACAAAGCTTACCTAGCTATGATCCCTACTACATTCCCGCCAATATCTGTGGAATGACTGCAATTCCATATATACTTAGTCGGGTCATAAGTTCTGTCACAAACTTTTGATGTAATAACTTATACGCCTTTTGACAATTATTTAAAAATTATATATGAAATGAAAGGTCATTAAATGTACAATATAATTTTATTTACATTATTCGAAATGCCCTCCCCCATTTTGAACACATGCCCTTAATCTACGCGGCCAGTCATCGATCGCTGCACGCACCACATTCATATCTATGTCTGCCGCTGCTTTAACCAGAGATGCTCGGAGAGACTCCAAATTCGGGTGAGGTTTAGCACAGACTTTTTCCTCCAAATATTGCCATATCTTGTAGTCCAGTGGGTTTAAATCTGGACTAGAAGAGGGCCAGTCTTCATGCCGGATGAAGTCAATTCCACGAGCGATCAACCAGTCTTGCGTACTTCGTGCCTTATGAGCCGGTGCAGAGTCCTGTTGGAATATCCAATGCCTGTTCCTGAACATTGTCTGAGAAAGAGGTTCCACTATGTTTGTTAGGACAGTATTTTGATAAACTTCGGCACTAGTTCTCACACCTTTTTCACAGAAAAACACCTCAGTTACGCCTGAATATGAGACTCCAAGCCAAACCATGAATGAGGAAGGGTAATGCCCACGCTGGACCCTCGCAATACGCGCGCTTGCTTCTTCACTGCTGTGGGCATACACCTTATCATTTTGTTTGTTAAAACTTTCTTCAATAGTAAAAATTTTTTCATCCGAAAAAAGAATTTCGCGGTATTTTTTTCCCGCGTACCGTCGTAGCAAAGCGCGGGATCTGTCTAGCCTAATTTTTTTTAAACGCTCGTTCAAAAAGTGTCCTGTCTTTTTACGATAAGCTCGTAGTCCCAGGTCTTCATTTAGTACTCTTTTAACAGTGGTTCTGCTTAGCCCCATCTGCAGAGCTAGGATTTTTTGTTTACGTACGGGATTTCGTTCGATTCGCGCCTTCACTGCTTTGATGACCTTATGTGTCCGAACTGTGCGAGGTCGGCCGCTTCTCTTACGATCTTCGAAGCTTGACTCTTCGGTGTATCGTTTGATAGTACGATAAACAAACCGTAACGTTATTTTCAAATTTTGAAGAATATTGAAAATGTCTTTTGGCGCGTAACCACAGCGGTGCAACGCGATAACCGCGATTCTGTCTTCTTTATTCGACCACTCCATATTTAAAAATGAATAAAAAATAATTTCTTTTTTATTTTCTACAAGCGCGAAAGTTCTATTTTTAAAATAAGTCGAAGAATTTCTGGCCAGTAATCGAAAATTAAAAATATAAGGTTTTGACAGAACTTATGACCCGACTAAGTATATATTTACACGCATTTTGAAAGAAGTGAAGATATTTTATAAGATATCCTATATATTTATTTAATGCCATAACTAATTACCAGTTTCGGTTAAAATATGTTCATTGTACAAGAAAGTTTATACTTAAACTAAAAATTATTCCTACTGGTGAGTTGGTCGCGTGCTATCATTTATTACTTAGAGGCGAAGAGGTGATTCACTGCGTAGTACTGTATTAAAGAGATATCGATTTTTATAGTTATGGACTTTAATATAAAAAAGCTACTTAAAAATAATGCATTCTTATTTTTTGTGGTTATGGTGGCCGAAAGTTTAAGGCGTCGCATCTCATGCATGAGTGGTTCGAAACCTGGCAAGTACCCATGTGACTTTTCTCTAGTTATATGTACTTTCTATAATTATTTAGACACCACTGACATACGGTGACGGAAAGCATAATTAGGAAACCTGGATTTACTATTTTATTATTTCAAATTATAAGTTTGAATGCGCCAACCCGCTTTTAGTACGCGTGGTGATTAATGTTCAAATCTTCTCCGTGTGAGAAGAGGCCTTTGCTCAGCAATAAGCACTTATAGGCTGATGATGTCATGATATGAATGCTTGGTATAGTAGTCCGCTCTAGCCGAACTAGACACACTACTTAGTTGACTTTTGAATGTCTAGTTTTAAACCATATTTTATGTCAGACGAATATTTCAATCTATAATAATATTATAAAGAGGTAAAATTTGTAAGTTTGTATGTTTTGTAAGTTTGTATGTGGGGGGTACCTAATCTTTGGAACCGCTGGTCGAATTGGATTGCCAAAATTCTTTCACTGATAGATAGCTACAATGTTCCTGAGTGCTATAGGCTATAAAACCCGAGCCGAGCAGCGGGTGAAACCGTGCGGGAGTAGCTAGTAAGATATATAATTGGAGAAATGTCTCTTCACCTTGTACACCACAATGTATGTAATCCCTTTAGATTACATACATTGCAATGGTTAAATAGGTTAAGAATGAATTAACAAATCAAAAACAGCTTTGTTTTGGACATCCATGGGGAGCTCTTCCTAAATGTTCATTCAAGTATTAAGTAAAAATATACTTTTAATTAAGTAGCATTTTCTTATGTTTTTTTTTCAATAGGTTCTGTTATATATTTATAAATGTTCCCTTTCTCCCTCTTTTTTGTCCAGATCAGAAAATAGCGATAGACAATTCGACAATAATTCTTCGAACTGTGTCATTAATACAAAAATTCGTACTCATAATTAAGGCTAGCACTAAATGGAACTATGAATAGAATTTATAATAAAATGTGATGTTACCTAATTACAGAATAGGGAGGATCCTGATGTCACATACGAAATTAGTATTAATATTTGTAAAGACAAAATAGTTTTAATTACGAATAATTAAACCTTTTTACTACAACAAATAAGACCCGAGTTTGATCACCACGGAAACAAAGCGGCAACCCACGCGATTTATTTTCGCTCACTTTTCAAATAGGCCTTTTATGTGTACCGAAGCAGCTGCGGCCTTCGAAATCCCTACATAGCCGATTATAGCCTGACCTTTTACGCGAAAATAGAGATGAATGTCGATAGTCACTCTTCGTTATTTAATAATACACCCACCATGTTGAAATCAAGAGTGACGATTCGAATTTAGAATGTTGCTTTAACAAATTTAAAAAATGGTTTTCGTTTATTTTGGACCGTTATTTATTAGAAAAGGTTTATTTTTTAATGAAAAATTCAGCCCTCGGTCAGCAATCGTAAATAATGATTTCATAATTTATAGATCTTTTTATTTTTTTAAATACTTTTTTCACAATTGTTGCGCAATGGTGGACTTTATAGTTAAATAAGTCAATAAAAAACATTGATGTTAAAGAAGCAAACTTTTTTCACTGAAAATACACAATCTACCTAACTGTTTACTCATTCTTACGATACTTGCGGCTACGGACGGAGATTACATGTAGACAGATTATATAGATTTTCATTAGAACAAATCCATGTGCATAATTACCATAAGTTAACATGTAGGTACCCAACAACAAAGTATACGCAACACAGTAGAACAATTTCACGTGAAACATAATTTCATAGTGATTCTTTAAATTCAAAATGTACTCAAATTACTTATATCTCCCACAGAATTTTCCATGGAAAGAGGAAGAGGTCTATGTTATGATTCGGTTCAAGGGCGATGCGCTCCCCACGACCTTCACCAGGTTGTCTAGCTGTGGGGGCGTCCCACGCTGCATCTCCCTGCTTGTAGCGGGAAATATCTACCGTACTGTCTATTTGTAGAAATTGAGGCTCAAATTTATAAATAGTCCGCCCTAAAAGTGTTGCGAACTTTTTTTGTACTTTTTTAATACCATTTTCTTTTTATAAACACTTTGATGGTAAAATGTAGAGTTTCTTGTGTTGTTTGTTTCTCTGTTCTTTCCTCGGTCGTTGGTCGACTGTCGCGTCACAGGTTCGATTCTTGGGTCGGGCAAAGTATTATTATCAAATAAGGGTTTTTGGAAATCCAATCACAGCTCGGAGCTCGTTATTGCGGCCAGCATAAATAGACATGACGAGAAAAAAATGTTTTTTTTAAACCAATATGTAACATATTTCGTATTTTTTTAATCCTAGAATTAAGGATGCTAAAGTTTAGCAATTACTTCTGCCTTATGTCACCTTTGTAATGAGGTCAGAAATATGCACCTCAAGTTTTCCAAAGTCGAGTAAAGTTTGTATAATTAATGTTTTTATTTTGAAATCATAAATTTGTGCGCAGTCTACTGTTACCGTTAACGTGCTTAAAGTATTTAACTTTTAAGTCATTAGTTAACTGCTTTAAGTATGGTCGTATCATATGATATATCTATTTCATTCTATCTATTTATTATATGATCTATCTATGACCTCATGAATTCCTGTTATATTGAAAAAAAGGGATAGATGAGCGTGATACTGTGATGTAAAGAGTTATTGTGAGTAACTTCGGCAAACGAGCAACCTTATCACCGCTGGCGGATACCCGGGACTTCAAAGGAGTTACTGCTTGCTGGCCTTTTATACCGATTTGAGTATGGAGAAGAAACAAAACGCAACCGTTGTTTCAATCCGGCAGTCAGTGAAGTCGTGGTATCACTCCGGTTGAGCCGCCCCATTCATGCCGAAGCATGGCTCTCCCGCTGTTCGTTAGGTAATTAAAGCCGGTTTCTATATTTTTAAATATCATCCCTATTCTCCGCTGGTTGTATAATATTGTCGCGCCATGTTGACTCATTTTACGAGAAGCGAATCAAAGGAAAGATTTAGAGGATTACGTGCCGTCGTCAGAGTTTTATACAAAGATCTATTATCCGATAAAGAGAATAATTAAACGTCTAAAAGTATGAACAATAGAGTACACATTATAGTGCTTTAAAGCGAAATTATAATAGTATTGTAACAGAATACAATATTTAAAGCTGTTACACCCATATAGGTGGTTTTTGCATAGTCGATTTACGTGTGGGAGAGCCATGCATCGGCACGAATAGGTCGGCTCGACTAAGTGACCACGACTTCACAAAAAAACCGGCGTGAAAAACCTACAATAAAACAATGAATTTATTTTTGAAAATAGGCCATAAAACGGCACTTTTACACATCAAATTATATGTGAAAAACTAGATGAAGCCAGCATTTCCTATCTGACTACTCTGAGAAGAAATGCCGAAAGTCAGAGGTCAGTCTCTTTTCAAGTCAAAGTACGCCAGTACAGCGTTGTGTTTCTTCGTATGAGTAGGTAACTCAAATCTTTTCTTTCCCAATCCCTAAATCTCCTAAACACTAACCCTCAAAAGACCGGCAATCCACTCGTAGCTCCTCCGTCGTTGCGGGTGTCCATGGGCGGCGTTGATCCCTTACAATCAGGTAATCCACCTGCTCGTTTCCCTTCCTACCGCATAAAAGCCGACTCATTCAAAAATTCAGGAGTTTCTTAGAATAATAGAAAATAGAACGACGTTTTCAGAAATTTCATCTACAGTTGAATCATTAACAAGAAGCTCAAGTTTTAATTGATTTTGGCTTCTGTGTAATGCATTCCGGACGAAATAATTCTGTGTTAAATAAAAGTTATTGTTTTGGGTCTAGGTGCGATGCGCATATTAACTAAACGCGCTCTAGATATTCAGACACAAATGTTGCTCAAAGTTAGAAGTTGCGGCTAAAATCTCAACTTTACGGAACTCTTAACATGAGGAAGAAGGGCTACGCTGTTAGTCCGTCAGTCTGTCTGTATGTTTGTCACCAGGCTGTATTTCTTGAACCGAAACAGCCGGAAAATTTGGACAGATGACGTATCTGTTCTCACTATCACATCGAATATTAAATAAAATAAATATTTATGTGGTCACAACAAACGTGTTTTCTCTAATAATCTTGGTATGATAAAGAAACAAGCATGGTTATAATAAAATTGTTTCAGTACATATTTTTAGTATATATATCTAAGTAGATATAAAGTAGTATTAGACAACTAAGTATATAACTTAAGAACTGATGACTGATGACTGCTGAACTGAATTGACTGATAGTTGGTGGAAAGCTAGTAGGCTAGCTACTGGGCTCGGTCTGTAAGGCCGACCTTAGGGTCCAGAAGGCATACACGCGAATTTTAAATAGTATCTTTCTAGCATCCCACATTCGTAAAATGGGGGGCGGAGGGGGGAGGGAGAGGGATAAAAGTTTGTGGAACATTCAACATACGACTACGTAACAACATGCGATTTTTTGTTCTAGCCCCCAACCTGCTCAGAATCGTTTTTAAATACAATCCCTAACTAGAAAAACATAAACTTAATATCGTCTACATAAGGGTATTCAAATTATATTCTATTCTAAATCCTCTATTAAATCAGGAAAGGGGAAGCGTATTACCCCGAATTGAAGGCGACCAAAGCCGCAGACTAGCCCCAGTATTATATATAATTATTAAGTTCTCCCAACGAGACACTGCCTACAATGTCTATTTCTATGAAATGGGAACGGCCATTATTCATCGTTAACACGAATACGGACAACAAAGCGATATGAATTACTTAGTTTGTATTATTTGAAATTTATAATAGCTAGTTAAAAATATTCAGCATAGAGTATGTAAACCTTTCATATTCAGAGATAAGTTTTAAGCTTACGCTATAAGGCAACCTTTTGAACATTCCATTTTTGAAAGTTTGTCCTGTGTTTTTCTATAATTACGAAAGAGTACGGTAGTACTATAAAGTATACACATATTAATAATCATTTAAGTATTTTTTTTAGTCTAAGTTTTTTACAATAAGGGTTTCATCGGTTGATGTTGTAGTTTAAAAAAATTAATAACAATCACGTTGGTCATGATTGAAATTCAGCTGTCGCAGTCAATAAGGTCAAAACTGATAACCAATTGGGTTTATTTCTTTTTCTTTTTAATTTTAAAATGTGGTATTAGTCGCAATTCTCTCAAGTTGGCCGAGCAAGCAAGTTCATTGGTCAAACAAATAATTAGTTTTTTTTTTGTATTTTAGATATAGAGCTTTCTGATGTACTTCTTGGCATAAGATAGGTAACTAATATAAATTGTCCCAGTAATTGATTTGAACTTTCTTTCCTGTAAACTGCGCTAACAATAAATAGTCGACCAATTCGGTTTAGTAGTTAGGCAGTTGCGCGCGAACATACATGCTGAAATTAACTTTGATGTTCTGTACCTCAAATGTGAAAAATCGCGAGACTATTTTTCAATGATGTATCGTGATCGGGCTCGAAGCAGGAGAAAGAAGAGGGTGGATATTAGTCATTACATTAAGAGTGTGAAACTAGCCTTACCCCACTCCTCCCTTCCGCCGAAAAAACCAAATACTCGTTACATTATTCAACTGACCTGAAAGTTGATAGTAGAAGTGACGATCTTCATGGACTCAGCGTAGTTCCTGAGCACAGAGTCGGTGCTGAGGCAGCTCTGTCGCCACTCGTAAAGCTGTTCCAGTCGAGTCACGCAGCGCTCGCATATCTTCTTCGGCAAGAAGTCGTCCTTCGATATCTGCTGGATTTATTTTAAAATGTTAAATGTTTAGACACAAAAAATATATATAAATTTGCAAAAAAAATCGTTATGAAAAGATATAAAAATGAGGGGTAGTATTTTCCTTGCATAGATCATAGAATAATTTAAATTTACTTTTACACAGCGTTGTGTTTCGCCGTGTGAGTGAGGTTACCGGGCCCAATCGTTCTGTCTCAAAATCCCTAAATGCTCAAAATCCTAATCCCTTAAAGGTCGGCAACGCATTCGTAACTCTTTCGTATTTGGGTGTCTATGGCTGGCTGATTGCTTTCCATCAGGTAATCCGTCTACTCGTTTCCATTCCTATCATATAAAAAGATACAGGACACACTTACCTATTAGTTACTAAAAAACTCTTTTTGAATAATGTGAGCACATTAAAATATGATATAATGACTGATATTATATTTTTGCTATAGATAAATTAAATATGTATTTGCAAAAACTCTTACATCATAGACATCTCATTATTACATAATAACGAACCAAATAAAATCGTTCATTGAGCTGGATCAGGGATTACTATTTATTGGGTCGCTGTGTCGTTCAACTTTGACCTCTACGGCCAACACCTTAAAAGTCATAGGTTTACAATAAGGGATTATATTTGACACGTGACAGCTATTATGACCATCTCTTGTAATCTCTTATTTTTCTGCCACGCAGGGGATTCGCATTAAGCCGGTGATCTGACCTACTTATGAGGTTCGAGCCGTTGAGCTACGATTGTGTGGGGTCAATGATCTGAACAAGGCGGTCTTACGAATGCATTACTGAAGAATAATATATTGATCGGTTCTTTGATTTATATTTGCTTTCCACTTGATGGCTTTGTAATTTGTTGTTTTATTTTTCTTTAGGTACACGATTTTTTTTCAGGCTCTATATCAAACATGGTTGAATCTTGGGTTTTTATTCTAGTTTTATTCAAAATATATAACGTATTCAAATTGTAGTATTGACCTAACAATGGTATTACTATATGCAAAAGAAGCAGTAAATAAATTTGTGAGTTTCGCCGTAACCGCGTAAATTTAGCCGCGATCATCCATCATCTCGCCAAAGATCAATAGCTACGATAGATTGTGTAATTTTTAATATAACTTATTTTTGCAAATTTTTCCTTATTTGTAAAACAAAAAAATAATCAACAGGTATTGTGGTATTTCGGTTTTCCTTGTTGTGTTCGGTTCGTAGCGCATCGTAGCGCGCAGGCGTCTACGAAGCTACGGCCGCCCGCTACGTAGCAGCATTATTGCACTTCTAACTACAAAGCCACTGTTTACGTTGCACTTCACCATAGAACCGTAAATTATGTCATCGAATCGTAAATTATTTATGTAATAAGTAAGTACGTAATTATCACAAATTGCAAGTCACTGGAATGTCAAGGACACAAGTGTATGCGGTAGTACAAAGAGCTTACTCACCATAGTGGGCAGACAGGTCCTGAGCTTGAACAGGATCTGCCGTTGTTCCGACTCCTTATCGAAGATATGGAGTCTGGGCCCGCTCTTCAGGGAGCACAACCGACATAGGTCGGTGAATGCCGTGAAGTTGAGGTCCTCGGGCTCGGTCATGGCGAAGCACCTGATGAGGAGGTCAAGGAGGCAGGAGTTGTCCATGTATACGGCGGTGGTTCTCGGGTGGCGGGAGACAGGGTCAACGTCGCATGTCGCGGGTGCAGGCGTCGGGGAGGCGTCGCTCCGCCGCTGCGTCCGGGGGGCACTGGGGCCCGGCGGCGCGCGGCCCCTACACCCGGCGGCCTCCACTCCCCCCTCGGCCGCGCCGCACGCAGCCCCGCCGTCTTCCCCGCGCTGCCTCCTCGCCCCCTCGCTTCTCCCGGGGTGGCGTCCTCGGAAAACGCCAGTTTTCCCATTTACTATCTCAGAATGCCTGTTTATCGATATGCAATTGATTTCATTGTTTGTTTGCGTTATTTCTTAGCATAGTCAAGCTTTGGGTTCTGGTGGTATATTTTAAGGTGAGAGTATAGGCATACTTTGAGAAATTAGTTAATTTTAAGTGTTAGAAAAAATAAATAACAAGCATTTCACACGTAAAGTTTCTTACGTAGAGTTTGCATTTTATTATGTATATAACACGATCAATTTGTACACAAATAATACTTTTGCTTAAAAATAGCACAGCAAACAACAAAAACCTGCACAAAACCTCATTACCTTTATGAACCATAAACATTTTAAATTAAATCATGTCCAAAATATATTGATACGCGGCTAAACACGAAATTAAATGACTGACTAAAGAGTACAAACAAAATATACATCTGTTGTAGCAAGCAGCGCTTTATGAAGGATCAAGTTAGGCTAGTGATTTGGTAAGTCGACCTTTTTAGATGTCCTTCTATTAGAACGTCGGAAGAAATGTCATTGTGTTGAAATTTTTATACAATAAAATACAGAAAGATAAACATATTATAAAGGTCCCTTATATTTATTATATACATTGTTATATAGAGGCACAGCATTTTATTATGTCTTCTTCAGAATCCGATTCAGAATTCCATAGCTACTCCGAACGTACCCTGGCCATCATCAAACCAGAGGCTTATGAAGACGCTGAAGCTATAGAGAATACAATTCTCAATAATGGATTCAGTATTGTTGCGGTTAGTAGCGTAAATATATTTTATTTGAATATGATAGTTTCCTGTGTTATGAACAAGAAAATATACTTGTACTGATCATCAAAGCAAAGGCGTCTTCTCATACGGAGAAGGTTTTTATTAGACGTTAGCATTAATCACCACGCTTGCACAATGCGGGTTGGCGATTCCAAACTTATAGTTAGAAATTATCAGTCCAGGTTTCCTCACGATTTTTCCCTTCACGGTATGTCAGTGGTGTCTAAATAATCATGTAAGTACATATAACTCGGAAAAAGTCACATTGGTACTTGCCAGGTTTCGAACCTACACCCTTATTCATGAGAAGCGGGCTCCTTAACCTCCGGGCCACCACACTGTATTGCACCTACTTATAACATCTTTCGTGTGCAAGTACAAGCGCTACAATGTACCACGGCCCCGGTCCAAGTAGGAGTTTTTAGTCAGTAAGAGTCTGACACTCCCTCTCGCTCTACCCAGGATGGAAGAAGTCATTTAATGATTTATCTTTGAAATGGTAGTAGGAGTCTGTTCTCCTTAACTGTTTCAAAAAGGTATTGAAGTTATTGTTTTGTCTCATTCAAGAAAAACCTTTTTAGTAGATGAGCTATACTTTTTTCACTCGTGACCTCCAAAAAGAACATATTCCAAACAAACGAAAAGAGACGAGTATTCTCCTGATTAGGTACTCCTTCTTAATCGTCCATGGGCGGCGCTGATCACCTACCATCAGTTGATTCTGCTCGTACCTATTTTTTTTTTACTTGCAATAAACTAGTGCTTGACTGCGATCCCACCTGATGTTAAGCAGTGATGCAATCGTTGATGGTAAGTCGCACTAGTACATACATACTTACACTTAAAAGTTAGATGTACAAATATAAAAATCAATATTGTTTATTCTTAATATCTACGATTAACGATTGGAAGTTTTATCATGCCATTAGTCACGGCGTTCCATTTCTACGAAAATATGGAACATAATGTCACACGCACGTGTTATTGTATCTGATGACAATCCAATGTTATTTTGTTTGTAGGGTAAACATACAAAATGTACGAGTACATGTTGATGTATGTAGGTATAGAGAGTTTGTTTGTAGTAGCTTTAATGTTTTTATTTGTAAGTATTAATTTAGTACAAGCTTTCGCCCGCGGATAGTGCGGTAATTTGATAGAGAGTATGCGTATTATGCCTATTTATACGTATGTCCAGGATGTCACCTATTTACATCCCAAATTTCAGCCAAATCAGGCCAACCGGTTTTGCGGGAAATAATAACAAACACACATCCATATATTAATAATATTAGTAGGCTTTGTTAGAACTAGCATGAAAAAAGATCAAAAGTTACTTGTAAATAAGAATAAAAACGTTAATGTAACGAAAAGAATGATTATCAATCTCCTTAAAAAAAAAAATAATTTTTATATTGCTTAATTTGATTGCCTCGTTGATCTAGCGCACGCAAGAGCATCTGCCAACTGCCGACCGAAAGGTCTCTAGTTGCGATAAGCTGGTTAGGCAAAGTATTGTTGTTTTCTATGATTAATTGAAAACAAGCTGACCCCAAAGCAAACTTTTTTTCTGACGTTTTAAACCTTCCCTGTGTATCCAGGAATATTTAAAGACTACAATAAGCAATGGCTGTTCAGCCTTCCTCGAGTTTTAGTGAGACTACCGATCAGGAATTAATTTTTATAGATAAGATTTTCGCTGACAGTGTTAGGGGTTATAAAACTGGATTTTGAGTGAATGTATGATTTAAAATATTTATATCTGCTATAACAAACTTGCTTAAATTATAATTAGGTAGGTAGGTAATTTTATTATAATTTAGCTCAGCTTCCAATAAAATAGTTATTATAGTGCAACTAGGTGCTTTTCACAAAAAAAGTTATTAATAGACTACGTCAGAGTGCTGCCCATCCCCATAAATTCATGGGTACTACACGACACCCACCGGTAGAGGTGGGGGCGTTTGATTATGGGAGCGCACAGACTACCGACTGTTTCGACTGGAAAAATATTTATTTTGTCGCAGTGTCACAATCTGACTCATACTAAATGACAACAAGGGATTTCTAAACTTTATTTGAAGAACTTATAGGCTACATTATTCTGCTCTTTAGAATACTTTCCTGTCTTTAATTAATAACTTAATTTTGTGCTAGACCCCTTACTAGGTTAGTTCTTGTAATATGCGAATGTCTAGAAAAATTTATTAAATATGTAATAAATAATTTGGAATAGTGAAGACGCAGGTACTTAAAAGTTACAAAATCGTCAGGATGCGATTATAGCCCTTATCTGATATATAGCCACAATGTAAAGATTATCCTCATGTCCAAGCGGGTTTATTACTCTAAGTCCAAGCATCAAAGGACTTGGTGCTATAAAATAATAATAATATATTTCTTAAAAAAAACGCTGCCCTATGTTAGGATTTTTTAGACTCTCGGAACAACCATCTGTGGATCACACAAAGAGTTGTTCCGTGCGGGAAATCGAACCCTCGATACAACGCGCGGAAACCAGTTGCCCAGCCACTGCGCCAACCTTGCAGTCAAATATTATGTTTCATCAAATATTATTATTATGTTATTTAAGGAAAATTCTCTTTCCCGTTCAAAAAGGCCTTTATATTTTTAGTATTTATTGTCACTGCGTCTTCTGGTATTGCGAGTGTTTATAGTCGACACTGATTGCTCCTCCTTGATCCTTTGGCTCGTTTGCTCTTCTATTATACTTCTATAAACAACTTTTTAACTATTTCCAATTCTGAGGATTTAGGTTCTACTGTTCTCCTCTTCACTAGATATCCAACCATATAAATATGTTTAAATTATTATTGTTATAAAATATTGATTCGACGTGGTCACGGACGGTAGTGTCTTTTAGTGTAACCCTAAAATATTCACGACTTAAAATAATAAAATAACAGAACACGGCACTTACAATAGAGGAGAGTGACCATCCCCTCGTGTCCGAACGCGACGCGTGCCCGGACGTTGTAGGGTTGTTGTCTGTGTGTTCGTAAGTACGTATGCAAAACTCAAATTGAATTTATTTGCCAGATTTAAAGTAGGGATTCTTGACTTGTAACTCGATTTAGGTTAGCGCGGGGTTTTATGTAAATTATGATTTCAAAAATTCATTTTGATAAGTGCTTGCACAGTTTAAAGTATACTGTAGGAATAACTGTGGAACTGAATATTTTATTTAGATATTGATAGCATTACTTGATGAAGCTTGTAAATCATAACAAAATATTAATTTAACAAATTATTAATATTCAGTACAGAACAGAACGTAACGTTTACTGTCAAAACTCATACTAAGGGTTAGTATGAGTTTTGACAGCAAACGTTACGTTCTTTCGAAACGTTGGTTTTCATTCATAAGTTAGCAGCGCCCCTAGCAAAAACGAAGATACTCATAATAAGGGTACAGTTTGATGAATATTTCGATCTAGAAAAGTTGTTTTTGCTGTCTTTTTTATACCCATATAGGGATTGAAAATTGCATATAAGATAGACTCTTTCTTTTTTATCCTTTGATCGGTCCCCAATATAACATTTTACAGATACTATGTTATATTCATTGAGCTTCATATTTTGCAGTCTTACGAGGTACGGGGTACATTTATCCCCTTTTGTCCGAAACTAGTCGCGTGCCGCGGGCACTGCAAGGGTTGTGTGTGTGATATGCAAAACTCATATCGACATTAGCAGAGTTGAAGAGGGTTGCTTCATTATTCTACGTCACATGCAACCCTTGTTAGATATAGGGTTGTCGCAATTTGCATTTTTAAGATTTGTTATTGGTTTCTTTTTAAGGTAAAAAATAATTCTATTTTATGCTTGGTTTAGGTTATTTTATTAAGTAATTAAAATTAATATGTTTAGTAAGGGCTGATTTATCAATGGTTAGATGTAAGTTACCTGGCGAATAATTATGACGCTGTCGCGTCAGAATGTTTGTTTAAGACAGTGACAGCAAACTTTTTATTCCTGAGATAACATTTATCTGACTATGGAAAAATCAGCCCTTAAAGTACCAAATAATTTTAATCATTAACAATCTGTTTCTTTTATTTACTTAATACTTTATTTTAGCTGAAATATTTACATGTTAAGTAAGTAAAATAATTTATTTCACACAGGCCGATTAGATTCCTACTTTTATTTGACAGTTTCTCGCTAATAAAGTATTGAGTAAGAGTGGAATTGTCTAATAGAGTGCAACTAAAAGTTTGACCTAAAACCAAAACACAGTCGATGTTTGGCAACCCTATGTAGCCGGCAGATCTTCGAGCCCTAGCTCTCGTGTTGGTCACCGATGGTATCTATAGAGGCCATAGAAAAAAACTAATTACGACTCCCTATTGACTTGTGAGGGGAATACTCTTCACTATCCCACATGATAGTAATTGCTATTTGCATACGTTTTCAAATAATTAATGAATACCTTAGGTTGTTACTTATTTTTACATACTTTATATCGATATATCACAACTCACACAAGGCATTTCATAGAGTTGATACACTTACAATTTAATAATTTTCAAAAATAAACTTATCACTCGCAACTAAACATAGGTACAGCTTTTGGTTTCGAATTATCGACGTATTCGTCTAATGCATGATACTATTTTTACTTTAGTGATGTTAAATAACATCTGTGTTATAACTTATACGGAAATCAACATCATCAATTTCAAACTGCAATTTTAATTGAATGAGACGAGACAGTCAACAGCTGATCAAACGCGAATATTGTCTGAAGCATGAGACACCCAATATGTTCAAATTGCTTTCAATCATAATAAAAAGGATGATTCATTATTGATTGATATGATAATTATCATATCCAATTCGACAAGCGCACCCCTGCTGCGTAGCAACGCTACGGCGCGACGTAGAGGTGTTGCTACGCGCTACGACGTCTACGGTCTCGACGGAAAAGTTTATAATCATTATTACGAAAAAATATTTTATCAGCTACCTACTATAAAACTGTTGATTGAGCTATGACCATTTATCTCTGTTTTATAGGCCATTAAGAAAGATATTGTCAATTTTATATCATAAATTAATGATACGTATGATATCTATCTTGACTTGTAATTTACTACGACGTTACGTTCGACACTCTTGTACTCTCATAACAAGACGAAAACTAAAATTTATTGATTATCATTCCGAGCTAATGCTACCCAAAGTTTCCCTTCCATACTTAGGGTCACATAACTGGAAATCATTTTGCTTTTACTATATTGTATATTTACAGTGGTTAGCGTAAGGACCTGGTTCACAATACTATCTAAAAAGCCACTATGAACTCAACGTTTTAGTAAGAAGTCTCTGGAACCTCCCTCGCCTCTTAAAACTGACCCTTATTAGTTTGATATTATTCACATAATACTTACTTAACAAAAAAACATATAAACGTACCTTATATCACACACACACCATGACTTTTATTGGCCGAAGCTATCAGTAGCTACTTACGTACATAGTACACGATAATGATTTTAATGCAACTTAGTACCTAAATAGGAGATCGAGCATTCTAAAAATAACATACCTATACTACCTACCTACTATTTAGATGGATACAAACCAAAATTTTAATACAAATACATGTTTATCTGCCTACTGTGTTAATTTGTATTTTATCAAAAAAGCAAAAACTACTTCGAAACTTTCTCCCCAGAAACGCCACGTTCGTTTGACCCCCGAACAAGCAGCGGAACTGTACAGGGGTCACTATGGCTCCCATCATTTCCCTCACCTAGTAGCCCACATGTCAAGCGGACCTATCATCGTGCTCGTCCTTTCGGCCAATAACTGCATAGAAAGATGGAAGACGCTTATGGGACCTGCTATGTTGGTATCCAAATCTTTTGATGATATACATAAAAAAGGACTAGTTTTTTACACGATACAACAAATGTTTAATTGGTATTTTAATATTGTTGTGAGAAGTTACCGTTGAAAATTTAATTAAGAGGTTTAACATTTAAGACTTATCAAATTTTCTAGCCTAAACTCGAGGTTCCGATTCGCTTTAAATACACAGAAAACCACAAAGGATCTTCATTACAATTATTGTATTCTGTGATTTTTTATTCAAAGTTGATGTATTTAGTCATTCAAAATTCTGTGTCAACTGCAGGGTATTGGAAGCGCAAGCCTACTGGCCAGATAGCTTGCGGGCGTGCTATGGCAGACGAACTAAGTATGGAGACTACTTCAACGGGTTACACGGCAGTGAAAACCATGCTGAGTCTCTTAGAGAGATACATTTCTTTTTTCCTAATAGTAAGTGCCTTACTTTTGTAATGGTACCTTGCAAATGAATTACGTATTTTTTTAAATCCAAAGAAGAAAAGAAGAAGCTAGATGTGGTAACCGTCCCAATGTCTTTTGGTGGCTTACATCCATCAGACTTTGCACGCCGGTTTTAACTTCGCATGTAGCGTGCGTGTAATAAAAACTATACATAACTATATCACTCGGTTAGATACAGCATAACTGAGTACACATTTTTCAGGGATTTCGCTACAGTGCTCTTTAATAACTTGAAGCTTTTAAACTTACTACTCCAACATAGCTGCCAAGCGTGTAGACTGTGCGAAATCTCTTCAATGTAGAAGAGGTTTATGTGTCTATCAGTGAACTTGTAGGTACTATGAAGGTCTATTGATTTGTTCAACTAATATTTTCTCTTTTTATTTCACAGTGGTTGTAGGACCAATCCTTCGTCATTGGCAAATAAATGACTACATACTGAGACATTTGACTCCTACCTTACTGCCTGCATTAACGGCATTGGCTCACGAACGTCCAGCGGAACCGATTCTATGGCTCGCTGAACACCTTCGCCGACACAATCCTAATGAACCAGAATTAGCACCACAACCATCAGAGCAGAGAGAGGATGCAAGGTGCCATACTCCAAAACCGTCTGAAGAATCACTTCTCCGCTAGTTTTATTTTAAAACGCTATTTTAGCGTTATTGTACTTTGAATGCAAATAAAGATTATATTGAATATATTTTTCATAAAGTCTTCTGATTGTTTAAATTTAATTGTACCCATAATTTACGTTTCTTGCTTATTTACCAAGGTACGGGTAAATCGCCATTTACGGATCACTGGTCAATTTCAATCGTCTAGAGTCCAGGATTGCTTAAGAAGTGTTGGGATAATGGAACCCCTACTTTCATTAAAAGTCTTTCCAAAGCTGTTATTTAATTTCACCTGTCCCGAAGTTCCAGCTGATTTTAAACACGTTTTATTTTTGTGGGATACGGCACGGCAACTCGATGCGATCGTTACTAATCGCCGTCGCGAAGAAGTAAACAACCAACTTGTCAGCCTTTTGGGGTAATGGGTTTGAATAAAAGTCCTGTTAATATAAAACACGTTTACTTTTCCCAACTTTATTTATAGAAACAGTTTACAAATGAGCTATCACAGGCTAGCGTGTGAACAATATCATTGCGAATAATAAAGATGACGATAGCGATGATACATTGTTATTGTATTGGTTATTTATGATGATTACAAAATCAAGAATTACTTTTAACTTACAAAAAATCCTAAACATATACTTATAATGATGTTCACTTCGAATATCGTTTAGATGCTTGATGTTTTTGATCTACAAGATCAATAGTTGATTCTAGAATATATATTTTCCTTTACGTGGCTTCTAAACGAGATTTCGAAGCGACATGAAACACGAAACAAAACTCTATTGTGACTATTTACAACGCAAATAAGTACACTTCTCCGCGTCACTTTTATTTATACAAAAATACATTCTATTTTTAAATTCTCTTAACATTGAAAACACTAAACTATCTAACCACAAAAATAGTCACAACATTTTTTGTTTTATATTGAATCAAACTTATCACTAAGCGGATTTGGTAGAAAAGAATCATGACTTAAGTAAAACTAATTTAGGAGATTACGAATATCGGCAAATCACCGCTGTAGAGGGCGGCGTCTGAAATAGAAAGATAATTAATTAAATAAAGTAAATATAATCATCTTTTAACTGAGTTTTAAAAGTATTGTTCTGAGACATTTTATCTTTATTAATTATTATAAAGAGGTAAAGTTTGTAAGTTTGTATGTAAGTATGGGGTAATCTTTGGAACCGCTGGTCGGATTACCAAAATTCTTTCACTAATAGATAGCTACAATGTACCTGAGTGCTATAGGCTATAAAACATCAGGCTACGATCAAATGGAGCCGAATGAAGCCGCGCGGAAGTAGCTTGTTAGATATATAATGAAACTATTTCAAATTGAACAAATACTTCTTAAGTATTTAACATTAAAACTATTACTACTACTTTTAATTTTCTAAAATTCTCAAATTCCAAGATTGCTCAAGAAGTGTTGGGTTAATGGAACCCCTACTTTCATTAAAAGTCTTTCTAAAGCTGTTATTTAATTTCACCTGTCTCGAAGTTGCAGCTGATTGTGATGATAGTAAGACGTACGTAAGTAACGTACTTACTCATTTAGTTTCTCTTCTCCCGGTACATGTGCACATAGGCTGCGTCTGACGATGAGCAGAGACCGATCTTCTGGCACACTCCCTTCGTGCCGAACTCCTCAATCAGGTGGATCACACTGTCGCCGTAAATCTCCATCATCGAGTGACACTATTGGAATTGGAACAAGAAGAGTAAAATATACTTTATTGTAAAGCTTTTACTTATAAATACACGGAAAACGGTGGTTTTTCTAAGTAATTCTTAGATTGACTTAGAATTATTTATTATGTTTTCGGCTTACTCACGTAATAATTTGACGAGATACTCGACTAGTTTCAAGCCATGCTAGAGGCCCATATTCATGAGCAGCATTCCGCGACACGCGACTCGGCGACCGTCGCACTGCTACTTACGACTTAGAATTACTTAGAAAAACCACCGTTTTTTTTATACAAGTTTTTTTTCATAAATATAGTAAAAAAGTTGTGGCACGTTTCAAAAGATGCTAAATGTGATGGTGTTAATAAAAGTCAATCTCAAATCATTTATTTCAATTAGACTATTATAGGCATTTTTGAACGTCAAACTAAAATGTAAAGACAACAGTGACATTCTGTCGGTCAGTCTACTTAGTGAAGTTATTTGCACCAAAATGTTGATTGCGATGCAGAAGAACAAGCAAGAATCCAATGGTTTTCATTTCCAATCAGTTTCACAATCTATTATAATAACATCAAAACAATATATATAATTTTTAGTAATTATTAAATTTAGTCCATTATGTAAGAACAGTAACCAATATTTTATCGTAATATTAAAATGATTTCATGTTAAGCTATCTTTATATAGAAGTCAGCGATGGTCCGATTATTATAAAGTATATCTAAAAAAGGGGAATAATGTAGGTCACTAGTTAATTTACATTATAATGCGCAGCTTATCGGGAAGTATTTAGATCGCGCACATGACGGGTAAAGTGAATTGGTGCAGTTAGACGAGCAGCTTTTAGATAAAATTGAATTGGGTTTTGTTTTTTTTTCTATAGAACATTAAGGAAAGTCATTATGATAAAAAATCATACCTAAATATTATAATTTATTATGAAAATTTGGTTCTGATTGAGTTAATAAATATGTCGCAAAAGTAGATGTTATCACAAAAACTAATCTAAATAATGTTGTATGTAAAGTTAGTAGAACAACTGATTGCTTTTCGAAACTTCGTGCCTATGAAGCGGACGCCTTATACTCCAGGCCTACGCAATATTTTTACAGAAAAAAAACTTGTTAGCACCTACTGTTTGACACTCAGAACTGAGTTTCACTTCTGAGTGTCAAGGCGATCGACGGTCGGTGGTCGCGTTCTGATTGGCCGACTCCAAGTTAACCAACCAATCAGAGGCTGAAGACGGTCACGTTAAACAAACTTACCCTAGGCATTCTAACTAAAGGTAAACAACAATCTTGATACGTCTTTTTTGATAAGGAAGTCGTAAAATACATACAAATATACACCTACGTAATATCGATTTAGGTAAATACCTTATTAAAGAGGTTTTGAGATATAATTTTTAGACAACATTTAGATAAAAAGACATGCCAAGGCAGTTAGTCAATTACTCTAATTAATAGACAATAGTAGAAAATGTTTTTTTTAATGTGAAGAAATTAGCCTCGGGTAGCCTCACTGACACGGCGAAACACAACTCTTTGGTTGTATCACGCCGGGTTTCTATATTCAACATTTTTCTATCAACTCACCCTTTCATTGTATTTGGCGGGTAATAACTCGCAGGACTTCTCTACGATGTTCACAATGTTGCGGTCGACCTTGTCGTTACTGAGCACCTTGCGCACTGCCATCACTACCGCCTCGCACACTGCGCAGTCCAAAATCTCCTCTGCAAGAAAACAAAACACATCCAACTTAAAATCAAAAGCATTGCAATATACCTATCTACTAGAGCTACTATATAACTTACCACCTATATGTATACCTAAAAGGCTTTTAAATACTTATGTATAATCTATATTCATATTATAAATAGGTAAATATTGTAATTTGTAAGTTTGTATGTAGGAGGTAATATCTGGTGCCGCTGGTCGGATTTTCAAAATTCTTTCACTGATGATGAGCTACAATGTTCCTGGCTGCTAAACACTATAAAACATCACGCTACGATTAAATAGAGCCAAGTAGCGAGCAGGTAGTATGTATAAAAATGAATCCCAAAATAGCTTTCAAATCCCATATAATAGAATAACCGGTCGCTAGTTATTGTACACAAATCAAAGTGCAAAGGTAGAAGTCGTTAAGTACCTTTAGCGGCTACAATGCTGGGCCTGTCACAAAGCTTGAGTTCCTCGCAGACCTGTTCAGGGTCGAGTTCCTGCGCCAACAAACTGATCACCATGTCGGCGTACTTGTCCACGAACTGCTCGCATTCACTGCGGATGTTTTTGGGCATACGCCTGCATACGTTCTCAATAACATGCTTCACTTCGTCCTGGAAAATAACACAAGTTTATAAATTCAGAGCTTTTAGTCATAGATCATACTGTTCACGGTGGTTATATTAAGACATTAAACAACTTATTATCCAGTCGTTAATTAATTAAGGCTTGCTAGGCAAATGGTTTGTAGGGATTGTAGTTTTCTCGAGTAGTAATTAACGTGGGACTTACTAAATTCATTGATAATAACTCTTGAATAACAATTCTAATTGTGACTTAAAACTAGTAGAGACAAATCACGAAAGTATCTATACTAATATTATAAAGAGGTAAAATTTGTAACTTTGTATGTAGGGGGGTAATCTTTGGAAACGCTGGTCGGATGACCAAAATTCTTTCACTGATAGATAGCTACAATGTTTCCGAGTGCTATAAAACATCACGCTACGATCAAATGGAACCGAGCAGCGGTGAAACCGTGCGGGAGTAGCTAGTTTCCTATATATAAAAAAACAGTTTAATCGCCTAGTTTAAGATTTTAAAAGTATGAGTTCAAGTTTAGTAAATAATCTTTAGTATAGATTTTAATACGTGATTTTAAAGTTAAATATTACTAAATTATCTAGACGTCGCGCAGCCCAGTAGGCTGCGCGACGTCGCCGCGTCCGCGGACGCTGCTCACTAGGAAGAACCCCTCTGTGGTTCGAAACTAGTAGAGTTTTTCTCAATATATACACGTGAGTAACCCGCGATTTTTAGTTAATTTAGTATGTCTCACGATAGTTATTAAATATTACTGTACGAAAATTTTCATTTTAATAATATTTTCGCTGATTATTTCAAAGGCAACATCACTTTGTGCTAATTAATACACATACCTCATTGTGTTTGTCCTTGATCTGGTCATCAATCTCCTTGAGCACAAACTCACAGATGACGCAGACTGTCTTCTGTTTCACTGGCGGACGTACTTCACGGCCATTCACCGTGTTGTCGAAGATTTCGTTCGTTTCTGCAATAAGGGTTATAAATTTAAATTATATAAATCAAGATAATGATGTTAAAAATGAAGTCACAAATTTTCATCACAGAATTGAATATTAGTTAGATCGAAATACGATAGAATTGTTATCAATAGTCATCTTAAAGCAACATTTGTATGTGCGAAAACTGTTATATATTTTTAAATGTGCCTGCGTATCTTGTATACACAAAACACAAGCATAAAAACATTTTCTACTGTATAAGTTATAAACAATATGCCTTTCTAAGCAGGCTTTACACTACAAACAACACTTAAATAAGTCACTCAACTCACCGATATCATGATCCTTGTGTGTAGCGACAAGCATGGTAGTGGGCAACAGAGACTTTCCTCTAAAGTTGTTTCTATCAGCCATCAGTTCAGGTTTCTGGTGGAACTTGTCAATAGAGTTCTGAGTGATCTTCAGAGGATCCTTGACCTCATCCTTGCACAGTTTGAGGAAGACACAGATCTCTTGCGCGTCCATATTGGCAACCAACATCTCGATTAATTGCGGTGCGTACGTGTCTACGAAGTCGACGCATTCCGTGCGTAGTTTTGTTGATAGATGCGTGCATAGATTGTCCAGAGCGATGCGGATGTTTTGCTGATATGAAATAATAATTATTAAAATATTTTAACCTATAATGACCATTATTATAATTTAATTATTTTGATATATATGTACATTATGTACCTACTACGATACAAATGAACGTCAACGTTTAGGCTGCTAAAATTGGTATAAAAACATAGAACCATGCTAAGATCTCAACAATACGGTTGTTTCCAACTAGTCAAATTCAATACTTTTATCCAAATGTCAAAAACGATACTTTTCTATGAAAATTGTATGAAACATTGAATTATGACATCATAGCATTTTTGCGTCAAATAGCTTACTTATTTTTAAAAAATTAGCTAAAAAATATCTAAAACTTAGTGTATCGATCGATCGATGAATAAAAGTATAGTTATTTTTCAATATTTTATCGTATTAAAGCGTCGAATTAATTTATTTTTGACCTAGGAAACTACCCAATTAATCAGAAAGGATATTATTTTCAAATTTATTACAATTCTTCATAAGAAATTCTATTGCAGGCAATGCAACATACCTCAGTGCGGTTATTCTTGAGCATGGTCTCGAGTTGTTCCACAGCGAACAAGCACAGAGGGCAGTTCGACTTCTCAGAGTTAATGTCCACGCGACGGACCTCACCTACTTGTGGGCAGATACCTAATGCTGGGCAAATCTGTAAAGACAAAAGGAAAATAATATTTAGATTGTTTTAAGGATATTTAGAGTTAAAGATACGAAATATCTGACAATACAGGTATTGCAAATTGTATTTAGCACGAAGACTAGTCTAAACTTATATTATAAAGAGGTAAAATTTGTAAGTTTGTATGTAGGGATATCTTTGGAAGCACTGGTCGGATTGACAAAATTCTTTCACTGATCGATAGCTACAATGTTCCTGAGTGCTATAGGCTATAAAACATTACGCTACCATCAAATGGAGCCGAGCAGCGGATGAAACCGCGAGAGAGTAGCTAGTATATTATAATTGAGGTTTTTTTATTCGGAATTCTTTGTAGCTCAGTATGCATGTGTCTCAAAAGAAATGTGGTAAAAAGTACAATGTAAATTGTAGCTATTGTAAACTGTAATGTAATGACGTTATTACTATGTTAACAATTGAGGTTCAGTTTCTGGCTTTCTGAGGGGGAGGTCAATCTGCCAATGAGTTTGCCCTGGGATGGGGCGAGAAGGAGTATTGACTCTTACTAACTAAAAGCCGGCCAATTTTTTCTCATGTTCCCAGCTAGTCCGCAGTCCATCATTGCGCTTTTCCCCCAAATCCCGACAGTTCCAAGGTTGGATTTCCAAAATTCTTAACAACATATATGTAGAAATATCGAGTATACTAACGGTAGCAGGATCAATTCTCTGAACGAGTAGCGCTACGACGGCGGGTCCGTACTGCGTGACGAACTGCTTGCACTCGTCGTTTACTGAATGCGGCAACTTGTCGCAAGCCTTGTCCACTGCTTGGAAGATCTCGTCCTGTAGACATAATATACTCAATTATTTAAATGTTTTTTTTTAATGTTTTACAATGATCAATATTACGTGGAGACTTTATTTCTAAAGTACAGAGTAAATCTGTTATAAATACTCCTACTGGTCAAATCAATACACAGTCACAATCTCTCTTCATTATTGTTGTGTATTATACTCATTAAGTATGGTTAAAATTATATTAGCCCTGAATTCAAAAACATAAAGTTCCATTCTTTTACATTCTATTTGCCAATGTTACAACTATGAAAGCAACAAAGAATCGAATTAAGCTATCATACGGCCTTCAACGCGTTCAACGTTCAAGAAAAGAGCGTACTCCTTTTTGGGTCAGCAATGCACTTATGTGTTAAATGTTATGGAGTCGCGGGAGTGGCATGGACGGCAATAATTGCTTACCTACAGATTGCTTACTGCGAAATGTTTAGCATTATCGATCGTATTAACATGTTACTACCATTTATATGCGATCAAAACCCCTCCCAAAGCCATAAAATACAAATATAGTACATACCTCAGTTCTAGTATCACTAATCTCGACTTGCAGATAGTGTAGGAAGTACTGGCAGAATGAGCAAGCCGCCTTGCCCTGAGGCTGCGGTACGGAGACAAACATGCGCTCTATGGGCAGTGGCCCGACACTCGTGCTCTCCTGCATCACACGTACGTTCGTTTGCTTGGTGATTGGTACACGGGCCAGCTAGAAAAGAACGGATAAAATAAGAATAAGTGTCATTATTAAGTATAATCAAAAGGTATAACTTTTTTTGCATCGTTTAAGAACTAGGCACGACATCATACTATTTTAGCCATTAGTTTTTTACAATCGACGACCAACGACAACAAAAATGAGTGGAACTTTAGGTACTAAAAAATATTACATAATAAAAACTACTGTAAACAAATAATTGACAGATTCTATTACAGTATTCACAGTCAGATATATAGGGTGAGATATAGGGGCAGATTAAATTAAATAAAAGCTTGTATTTACTTATTTAACAATAATCGTAAAATAAACAAAAGTAGTTAGCGGCAGTTCAGACCGAAAAGCGATGCGATGCAATGTTGAGCGCTATCATTAAATCTACGGCTTAAAAACTACTTTATTTTATAATAGATACACTTTTATGACATGCGTTCAACATTGGCCTCTAAAAAAGGCTCTTATAGTACTATCGCGTCACGTCTTGGTGTGAATTTAACCTAAATAAACTTTTCAACACACTTCCTCATGAAATGGCTCTAATCCCACGGCAATTCGGCACGTAATGACAACTACAATGAAACTGTGACTTTTTCATTACTATTATTCTCAAGTGAGTTATAGTTTTTTTTAAATTATTGGTTGAGTTACGCTTACGCTTGCGTTAAAATGCTATCTGCGAAAAACCCAGCACGTGAATAGGAACGGCGAATTTTTCCCGCCAGTACGAATCATTTTTTCACAACTCGTCTCGTTTTTTCATTTGAAGTGTGTTGAAAAACGTCATTTGATACACGTGTGTATTGATGATTACTGTCCTCAGCTCCTTAAGAGTGCCCCTGTCAAAGCGCCTTAGCGGTAATCACCAACTTTACACACTTGTACATAAATGTACTATTACCTACTCTTTACAAAATGAGCTTCAGTAAGTAGTTTAGTTTTAAAAATCCTTACCTGTTCAGTAGTTTGTTTCTTATCCATATCATAGCCGCCAATAAGTTTGGCTTTAACAGATATTTCTCCAGGCACTAAAGGAGCGATGGGCACGTTCTGAGTTTTGTTACCACAGACACCGAGCATGGCGCAAATTTCTTTAGAGTTCAGTTCCTCGACTAAGTACTTGTAGATGGTGTGGTAGTACTGTTCAGCTAGGTGAAGGCATTCGTCCTTGAAGTTACCAGTCTGTTTGCAGATACCTGTAAAAATATGGTGTGAATGATGGAAATAGTTGCAAAAAATAGATGAAATTGTCTATAATATGCATAAATATCATATTATAACCCATTACACACGTTGCGATGAAGAGTAAATCAGGGTCAGACTCTTCGGAAATAGTTAGTCGGAAGTTAACAACTATTGACGCATTTTCACTATTTACCAGTCTTTATTAAGGGGGTGGCCTTTGTCCAGCAGTGGACGTTTTTCAGCTGATGATGATGATTAATTAAACTCTCTCACAGAAAACCGGCGTAAAATAATCACAGCGTTGTGTTGCGCGTATAATTGTGGTAGCAGGAAGCCCAATTCTTGACCTACCCCCATCCTTTCCAAATCCCTAAATCTCAAAAATACCAATCTCCAAAAGGCCGGCAACGCACTCGTAACTTTTCTGGTGCTGCCGGAGTCCATGGGCGGTGCTGATTGCTTACCCTCAAGTAATCCGTCTGCTAATTTGCCGACCAATCACATAAAAAAATATGTTTTTCGAAAATAATGTATTGTTAGATCTTAGTGCAATTATAACTATATTGATTTCTTACCTATGAATACCTTGAAGAACTCAATCTCGGTTGTGTTAGCGACGAGGACATCACGCAAGTGCTTCACCAACTGCTCACACAGCTCGCACGGGACATCACTGACAAACAAATACATAATTAAAATCAGATTTAATATTAGTACTAATACGTTATAGGTTTCTTTCGTTTGAACAAAACCTTCATCAATTCTTATGTCATATGTTATTTATAGTATCTTTTGAACAATACCTTAAATTCATTTAAAAACCTAGGCGGTAAAAAGATCAAGTTTAATGGTGATCCAACCGTTAATTTTTTTTTATTAAACGTTGCTTCACACTAGTATTTTCTCCTGTGTCGTGCACAATGCACATCACACCCAGACCCGGAACAACAATCTGTGGATCACATAATAGGTTGTTCCGTGCGGGAATCGAACCCGCGACACGTTGCACGGCAGCCAGTTGCCCAACCACCGCGCCAACCGTGCAGTCAGAATTGTTTGAAATTTTCTTTAACACACAGAGACAAATTATTATGTCTGTCTGTTATGTATGTCTGTCCAGTGGGAAAGTTTATCATTCACAGTACTACTTTCTCAAGAAAATATATGAGAAACTGTTGATTCTGAATTTTCATTTTACGCTAGAAATAAGAATAAGGAAACAAACAATAATATCGAAAATACGACACATGATAAAAGGACTTCAATAATTAATATTTCTTGGTGTCTTAACTGTCTTTAATGAGTTGACTACGACTGTTCATATATACCTTGCGAAGAAAAGCCTTTAATTAAAGGTTGCAAAGCGACAAATCAACAAAACACATTCTAGAAAATTCTACAATTCTACATAAATGTGAAAGAGCCATGCTTCGGCACGGCTAGGTCATAGTTCGGCTCGACCGGAGTGATACCATGGGCTCACAGAAAACCGGCGTGAAACCACCACAGCGTTGTGTTTCGCCTTGTGAGTGAGGTTACCGGAGGCCAAATCTTTTCCTTCCACCAATCCCCAATCCCTAAAAAGTCGGCAACGCACTCGTAACTCCTCTGTTGTTGCAGGTGTCCAAGGGCGGCGCTGATTGCTACCCATCAGATAATTCGTTTGCCAAGCTATCACATAAAAAATAATATAAAAACTTACTCAGTAGGTGTGAAGTCAGGGAAAGTGAAATCATCGTGTTGATGGTACTTGTATGTGCATTGTCCGCTGAGGTGGCACACGCTTTCTCCATTCAGATCCTTCTTCAAAGCTTCTAGAATGTTCTCGTAGTATTTGAATACTAACATCGAACATGAATCCGAGAGTGAGTCCATCTTGCCACACATCTGTGAACAGGGGAAATTAAATCTTATGTATTGAGTATATGGTTGTTATTTGTATGGGGTGAGTACTATAAAGTTGCATTTTTAGTATCATTTATTTCGATTCTTTATTTTACAACTATAACTAAAAATAATTATGATGTAACATTTCATAAATCTGTAATGCATGCATACATGAATAGGAAAGTTAGTGTAATACCAATTCCAATTATAAATATACGCTTCGATCCAATGCTACTACTCAATGTCTCCACAATTATACAGATAAACATTCATCTTCAATCACTCTATCTAGATATTAAAAACCGCATCAAAATCATTTATGTAGTTTTGAAGGTTTAAGCATACATAGGGATATGGAATAGACAAAGCGACTTGATTTTATACTATGCAGTGATGTACTATTCTTTCTCTATTGACATAGTTACTAATCAACTAAACTTCCCTAAGATATTTACAATACATGCTAGTCGAAACGAAAAATTGTAATGAAAAAGTTAAATACTTTACCTGCAGCAATCCAACAAGGAAATCATCATAGCTGGTAGCATCGAACTTCTTCCTCAGGACGCCGACTGTACTTTGGCAGTGGTTGCATTCCACACGCAAGTTCAGCTGGGTGTTCTGTAACATACACATCGAATTAGCAACTTTATTACTGTGACACAAAGATGGATATTTGAGTGTTTATAAAAACAATAGTACTAAGATAAAAAAAAAATTTGGTCAGTGGTAGTATTTATGATCGCCCGACCAAAGCGAAGTTATTACAAATAATTTGTTGAATGAGGTTCTATTCTTATATACTGTTCAAAGCATTGTTTTATAGGTTCAAATTTAGAATTACTTTTTAATAGGTATGAGTATTTAAGTATGAAGAATAAATGACTTGTAATTTTGTTTATGGAATATAATTATTCATTCCAAAAGACGAAGGATAGCTTTGAAAATAGAACAATAAATTGCAATATTTACAAACATGGAATAGTAGAAGGTCGCGCCTAGAGTAATCGCGATAACCTGATAATATTGTCGTAAACAACGTACTTGTGAGTAATGTACAAGGTTACTACTTTAAGCACCTAATGTACCCGAATACTAAAGTACTATACTGATTTATATTACTTCTAGTACTTTTCTAAATGTACGGAATACTAAGGTAGGTACTGTAACATTTTTAGGCCGCGGTATTAGGGAAATCTCCATCACTCTTATATAATAGTTGCTTTACTGTCCAAAATTGATCCAGTCACTAGCAATGTAGAAGTACATAGTTAACTTTTGTTTTCTTTTAATTTGATTAGTTTTTAGTGTCTTTTATTCACTTTTAAATGGTTTTAATATCACATTGAATATTAAATTCAACATTATTTATAGAAATACATGGTCAGATTGAAAAGAAAAAGTCTTTGGGTCTTCACCATCCGTTTCGAAGATCGGTTATAAGTTTTGGGTCATAATCATCATCAGCCTATAAGTGCCCACTGCTGAGCAAAGGCTTCTTCTCATACGGAGAAGGTATTAATCACCATGCTTGCTTAATGCGGGTTGGCGATTTCAAACTTATAATTAGAAATTATAAGTCCAGGTTTCCTCACGATGTTTACCTTCACCGTATGTCAGTGGTGTCGAAATAATCATAGAAAGTACATATAACTCCTAAAAGTCACATTGGTACTTGCCAGGTTTCGAACCTACCCCTGCCCTCATACAAAGTTTATAAGTTTTAGGTGTACACTGCCACTTTAACGGCCCAACACCAAGTATTGGTTACAATATCCAAATTAAGCAAAGTAATTCTATGTTATTTTCCTACTTTGATAAATTACAGAAACATGTTATTCTATCTTCAAAATTTATTATGTATATCTAATTAACCACTTTCCTTTATAATATACTATACATATACGTTTAAATATAGATAATCTCAACGATGACGCATTTAGTTCATAATTGTCACATAACCGGGTCAATATGAAGTGCGTATTAAGATATAATATATTTAAAACCACAAAGAACAAAGCAATGAGGCTTGTATTACTTTGTTCTTACTTTAATAAAAATATTTACAAACGCCTTTGTCTCACGTGGAGTACATAGTCGATTAATATGTATGATCCTTACTTAATTTTCTTTTTTGTTGTTAAAAGAGTCACTACGTTGTGGTTTTCATTTACAGTCATTGTTTTTTGAAAGGAGTAATTTGGATAAACTTACTTTTTACGCTCAAAACCTTAAGGGAACGACGGTATCCTTTCTGACCCACTCCATTATAGACCATAATTCCGATGCTTAAAGATTAAATTGAAATTATTTATGAACATGTATAAACAAATGTTTTATCATGATTTATTTAAATAATTTTGGTGTTATGTTTTTGATAGGATGACTTTAATTTAGTCATCATAGAAGTGGTAAGGGCTAGTAGTACGTAAGCGTGTCCTTTTTCGAGATTCTCTCAAATGTGATGAAACTTAATATACTTACTTAAATAAAAATATTAATAAATCAATTAAGCAATATTAATAAATTCCTATTACCGAATGTACGTGACATTTTATAATGTGTTACGATAAAGAAAAACTGTATCTAATCAGCTAATTCTATTATTGCTTATTGTGGTTTGTTTTTACAATTACTGGGTCAGGCCTCTAGGCTTTGGGTTACAAATTTATAAGTAAGAAAGAGGTTAAACGTCTCTTGGATTAAGGGTAACACGTATGGGATTTAAACAGGAGATATAGGTATAAAACTTTACGTACATCGTTTTTTTTTTGTGAAGGGAAAATCATCAAATGACTTCTCCCGCCCAGGGTGGGGCGGGAGGGAGTGTCAGACTCTTACTGACTAAAAACCCCCCTGTTCCTTCTCCTGCTCTGGGCCGTGGTCGCGGTGCCTCATTGCGCTTACCCCGCAACCCCGACAACGTACATCGTTGGTTAGCCTTTGACGCACAAAAAGAGAAGACGACTTATATAGCGTATATTAAATGGTACCGATTCTTTTTCTTTTCATCTAATAATATAGCATTTATTTCAATGCCAAGACAGTTCTTCGTATCCCTAGGACGCGCCTGGCTTCAGTACTTTGGTATACATCGTTGTATCTACTGCAGATCCTGGCTTACAAGAGTTGCAAGGATTTTGGGAGGTTGTAGTGGGCTTTTACCATAATTAGTGCCAACGTTTCACCAACTTTTGAACATGTCAATGTAAAATGGAACAGCCTAATGTCATATACTAGCTACCATTCCTAACACCATATTAATTTTGACAATTCCTATAAACTGAATTCTTCGATAAGAATTAACTTGGCCGAAAAACGATCATTCTAATGCAGTTTAACTACGAACATAAGATACTATCACGATTTAAAATGGCTACTCACAAATTCATCAAGCATGTCATCAATCCTTGCGCTGTTGCAGAGTCCAGCGACGGAGCAGACTTGTTGAGGGTTCATTTGAGAAGCCAGGGTCTCCACCAGCTCAGGAACGAAGTCATCAGCTAATCTCATACACTCAGAGGCCACCACTTTAATTGGGATCAGCTTGCATGATCCTTCGAATACCTCCTTCAACTCTTCCTGTAATGATAAATAACAAAGGTATAAGTCGAAGTTTCGTTTGTGTTTAAATGTCAATTTTATTCTTAAGTGCATTAAGTTGATTTTAGAATAATTACTGGACAATGGTGGTTTTTTAAAGTGTCTAATAATTATGACGGTAAGTATACTATGAATATTGGAGAATATTTAATTTAAAATGTAATAAACAATATCAATAGTAGGTATTGCGTCGATGACAGTAATACCGTTTTACGTACCAACAGGTTATTTTACCAACATTACAATGCACTAACATAATATTTTTTTATAATATAAATACCGAAATATCTAATAACACACATACTCCTAAGTATGTCTACAATCCCAATAAAACAAGTAAATAAAAATACCGTATAGCTTTAAGAAACACAATAAAACTATGGCTATAGAGAGGATCTAAAGAATTACAATGAGCATATCTTTTCTAAAATATTTTACCATATCTATGAAACAAAAAGTACGTAAGTATATAGTTTTTCTTATTTTTACATCATGGAATGTCCGTCTCTGAAAACAGATTATTTATATACGAAAAAAGTTTCGGTAACAAAAACTATTAGCCACAGATTATTTACGACGCACACACACTTGGCCACAGATAAATAAATAACAGAACCCACGCTAATTGATAATACTCTAAACAGGATATATACACAAGAGACTTACGATAAATGCAGAGATCATAACCTGAAACGACATTCATGATTATTTTTATATTTATTTTATGAAAAGCATATTTTTTTTTAAATTTAGTTATTTATGTATATGTATTTGTTATGTACGGGTACTGAAATAAAACTCAATTGCAACTACAATCAATGTTTTTTACTGACGGTATTGTTATTAGATATTTGTTGCAGACCATGTCATAAGATTTGGCATTAGTCAAAAGACATGCTACGGCTAATGGTAATGGAATCTCAGACTCAATTACTGACTAAAAAAAACCGTTTCTTCATCTGTCCGAGCCGGGACGCAGCACATCATTTAAAATCGTTTTGCTTTACCTGCAACCCGGCTGAACATAAAACGGTTCAGTCAGTAGTCAGAAAGCGTCTGACTCTCTCTCTCTCTCTCTCTCTCTCTCTCTCTCTCTCTCTCTTGCCGCCACGGCGAGAGAAGTCATTTGACTATATTTTCTCCTCCACCTCAATAAAAAAATTAAACTTCGGATAAAGGCTCATATGCCATTTCGTCAATATGACCGAAAAATCAAAGAATACTTGGTAAAATATAATATTGAACTAAATTGAGCCAATTACTGTGACTTTTTTACTTAACCTACGCAATGAATGACTTATCATTTGTTGTTAGTTTACCCAGATGTGGTACGAAATGTTTTTAAACAATACATCGGCGTCATTGTTGACTTTATAAAACGTATGTATCCAGTACGATACAAATGGTTGTATTCAGGTCATTCTTATCACGGTAGCAAAAATTATGAAAACATTTTATTGGTGTTTCATTTAAATTTATAATTAAGCAATATTTTATTCATTATTTCAGTTAATGTAGTGTTCGTATTATGGAGATTTAATATTTCATGATTATGATAGGGACTTTTTATGAATTTGTTACTTTATAGGAACTAATACTATTTTAAAGTTCAATCAAAGACTCTGCTCATGCGATTTCAAGTTAACTAAAATATTGACCGGATGGCTGGACTATTGGCTGTCGTGCAACGTGTCAAGAACACCTCTTATTGTGATCCACAAATTGTTGATGTGTAATGTGTGTAAAAATGTGACGTTTGTGAAACTGTATATTTGTAAATGTACGCAACGGCACAGAAGGAAATTCTAGTGCGGGGCTACATTCAATAATTTATATTTTCTCTGCAGAAACGCTAATGGCTTCTGGAATCATCTTCAAAGTTACATTTCTTTTACTACTAAAAACAGGGATGATGACAATTTAATTTTGATTAGGAAATATTGATTGATTAGGTAATCAAAATTAAATTGTTTGAAATATGTAAAATTATCTATTCAAATCATAAATGTATTATAATATATAAAAAACTTCTACCTATTAAATTTTAAGCTTTCTTTTAGTATTTTTTACCAACTTAAAGTAAAATAAGTTTTATTTGACGCATAAAACGTTATGTCTGACGTAACACGTACCTATGAATCTTGTACAAAATTCATGGAAACTTATCATTTTTGAATAAATTACCTGAGGACATTGTAATCACAAGTCCAGTACAGTAATACTTCGGTATTTATAAAAACAATGTAACGTACCTACTTCATTATCGGACAATGACATACACATGCCAAGGTGTAAGTTCAACAATTGTTTGTACTAAGATAACTAACTAGTCACGCGAGAGTTGACGAAAATATGCCCTATATAAAACGTGAAATTTTAAATTAAATCTTTATTGTTAAGCTATTTATCTATGAAAAATGTTATTGAAATATCGTCATGGATGTTAATATTTGATGAAACCACTAAATAATAATAAAAAAATACAAGTTAAGTTTATATAAGTAACTACTTTTCTTCTTTACAGCTTTTAAACTGTGTCAGTATAACAAACTGATGAAATTCTTTGTCATCTTTCATATTATTAGATCATTAAATTATCAAGTGAGGGTTTCCTTTGTTTAAGAAATCTTCGAATATAAATTATACTAATATTATAAAGAGGTAAAATTTGTAAGTTTGTAGGTAGGGGGTAATCTTTGGAACCGCTGGTCGGATTTTCAAAATTCTTTCACTGATAGATAGCTAAAATATTTCAGAGTGCTATAGGCTATAAAACATCACGCTACGATTAAATCGAGCCGAGCAGCGGGTGAAACCGCGCGAGAGTAGCTAGTAAATTATATTATTACATACTTACAAACCAAAACGGTTTATAGTATTTCAACAACTAAGGTAAGATGTGGTAGGATAAGCATTTTGTTAATATGTCAAACACGTGCTCGTACTAGTACTGGTAGAGTACTAGACTACTCATAAGTCATATTTGAAAAGCATTTTAAGATAAATTGTTTCCAAATGCTCACTATTGTTATATGTATAACAAACGGGAGAATATTCATGCCTATACAAAAATACCAATATATACAAAAGAAATCAATAGACATATACTGTTCACACACACAGACTCAAGCATTTTGAATGGCGAGTGCCACCAACTATAATACGAGCCATAATTCCTAAAATTTTAAAACACCTTCAGTACGTGTGGGCCGGCTCGACCGGAGTAACACAAGGGCCTCACAAAAAACCGGCTAAAACAACCACAGCGTTGTGTTTCGCCGTGTAAGTGAGGATACCTGAGGCCTAATGCTTTATCTCCATCGCCCTATCCTCAAAAGGTCGGCAACTCATTGTGTAAATCTTCTGCAGGTGCCCATGGACGGTGCCAATTGCTTACCATCAGGTAATCAGTCTAATCGCCGAGATGAGTCTGCCCAACTAAAAAACAATATCTACTTCTTTGGCAGTCATCACATGAATTTCTTTACAACATACCACTTATACTAAAGTAATACAGACCTGTGTCTCGTTACTCTGCAGTTGGTCTCTGGCTTGCTGGACCATGTCGGTACAGATCTTGCAGACGCTGTCTGTGTCTTCAGGAAGGTCCATGTTCGGCCATACTTTGGACACACAGTGGTGGATTGCCTTGCATTCGCGGCCGGTGCTGGGGAAGAAAGGTAGGTAGATATAGAATATATATAGATTATATACACAGGAGTACTAAGGAGACTTCGCGCGCCCGCCTTGCGTCGCCCGCTCAGCCGTTAGCGGCAAGGCCCCACGCGCTCGCGTTTGAACTTGCACGCCTACCAGTGATTTTATTAGAGTACCTAATAAAAATGAGACTAATGAGGAGAGAAAAAAGTTGCTTTGGAAAATTTCTTTGTTACCACGAGTACAATTACGTATTTAAATATCGTTTACTAATTATTATTACCAGTCACGCTATATATGTATAAAGCAACTGAAACGAAAATATTTCATTGTGAAACTAAGAATGTGTTTGTTTTTTCGCCTGTTGGTATTCTTAATAACAGGATGATGACTGTAACACACTTCATTGGCCACCCAGCATAAAACAAGCTAGTCTCTTTTACTTCTTAGGGGTGATTTTTCAATGGTTAGATAGAAGTTATCTGGGGAATAATGATGGTGCTGTCGCGTCAGAAAGTTTGTATTAGACAGTGACAGAAACAATTTTATTCCACAGATACTATTTATCTGACTATTGAAAAATCAGCCCTTAATGGTATAAAATAGGTCCCGGTCACTGCGTACATATAGGCTGTATATTTATTTCTCTTCGTAAAATATTAGTAGGATTATGTGAAACGAGTGAATAGATAACGCTTTTGTTCATCTTACTGTATGTTGTACTATTCTGATTATTGCAAATAAATCAATAATATATTTAAGTTATATTTAAAATAAGAAAATAAAATATTTAAGAATTTATCAATCCGTCTATAAATAAACAAAGGAAATTTAAAGTAGGTAAATAAGTATGTGCTGTGGAATATGTACACTCCTTATTTAACTCTTCGGGAATTCAAAAATGTGTATTCAAGCAATTTTTAGTCATCCAAGTCTTATAGAAGAAAACAATTCACATCAAGGATTTTTTACAGTTACAAGGACGTGATCATCCGTGACAAAGAAAACCTTGCTTTTATTATTGTATTTGCACAGATGTTTATACGTTACAATGTAATCTACGCCTAATCGAGGTTTCAGAACAAATAAAAACCGTTCACACTTTGTTTGTGTGTTACAAAATAATTATGGTGTTTCGATTCTGTAGTTGATACCTATTAACAATTTTGAAACCCCTAAAACAATTGTATCAACCCAGAATTTATACATACATAACCTGTCAAAATCATAACCCTCCTTTTGCTTTGCCGTAGTCGAGTAAAAATAGAAAAGCAGTAGATCGATCGCTATTTTTATTATTTATATTTATCCTAGCAGTTGCATCCGCGTAGTATTTATATAGCCTATGTTTACCGGGGATAATATAGATTCCCAACAGTGAAACACTTCTCAAATCGGTCAAGTAGTTTCAGAGTCTATACAATGCAAACAAACCAACAATCATTCCTTTGTATGATACTAGTATAGTTTGTCCAACAAGGCACTCTGAACCTTAGAGACATTTCATTGTATGATTATGTTGATTAATCATAATCAGTGAACTCCACGAAGCGTAGTATGTTTTTAGAGATAATATGCAAAACACTAATTTCATTCTCTGATAAGAACAATATACAATTTTGTTCTTTTGTCAACTTTTGTTTTAATAGCAATAGAATAGGAAAAGTATTTAGTAGATACTGTAATCATTTTAAATATTAAACATTTTATGTTACGGAAATAACATAAGACACTAAGTGGTCTAGAATTAGAAAAAGTAATTAAGAGACGTTAAAAAACAAAAATCTAACATTTCAGACAAAATATTATCGATAAACAAATCACATGTTTTATTATCTAATCTTTATTTAATCTAAATCACCAAACAGTCTAAATTACTGTATTATGATGTCGCTACAATTAAGATTACAATCTATATCTAAGGGCAATAAGAACTAATTTTCATTGACCATACCAAAACTAGATTAAACCGAATAATTTTAAAGTAAACGTGTAGAAATTAATTCGTTTCGTACAATTTGCTTGTACCGTAGGTACTAATGTAACAAGACAATGAACGGCTTGCACAACGATGTTATGTAAAAAAATACAGTTTTACAATCGATTGTGTCCGAATACGAGAATCGAATTGAATCGATTGTAAGTAATAACGAATTGTTGCAAACTAGTGGTCGGCGTAGAACTGCGGTTTGCTATGGCTTTAGTACTTATGCAACGTTGTACTCAAATGGTAATATTGTTCTTATTGTTGGTAGGTATCGATTACATTTCTAGAAGTCTCTAGTCTTATGAACCCTTATTTTGTACGTAACGTATCAGAACTTTAATAACCTGAAGATTTTATGGGTGAAATTATGGTGCGTCAAGTTATTTTTAACCGACTTCCAAAAATTAGGGAGGTTCTCAATTCGACCTATATGCTTTTTTATGTTTGTTCGCCGAGATCTCCGTTATTTATGAATCGATTTTGATAATTCTTTTATTTTGTTGGAAAAGAGATAGTCTCAAAATAGTCCCATTATAAGGAAATCAGGATCTGATGATGGAAGACTAGAGAAATAAAGGGGAAATTTCAAAATATTGCAAGGGCGAGTAGTGCTTTTGTATGTTGTTTTAGAAAGCTTTATAGTCTTATAGTCAGAATCAAAATTTGGTTGTAGATATTATTATATCCAATAAAAGAAAACACCATTATTACCAAAAAATAATACCAAATAAACCTTCAATATCAAAACATGATTATGGCGATTCGATCCTACAAGGAAATCATTTAACAATTCTCGTAACGGATTCATAATAAAACAATGGCCAATTTCACAATTAATAAGGTTTAAATTGTAAATGTAAATATTTTTCCATCGATCATTACTTGATAAATTATAATTAGCTAGCTGTTACCAACGACGTGGTCTACGTTGTCAAATGAATATAATTAGCCTATATGACTTTCCGAAGTTATAAAAGTCATAATATAAATTTAATATATTTTTGGTAATATTTTATGAACTCCGACATGAATTAAAAACAAAAAAGAAATGTGACTTATGTATCGGTACTTATAATATAATGTGGTTAGCGTTTATTGCAACTTTACTCATGTATCATTAATACGCACCTATTTGTCTATTTCCGAATTTACTTATCGTGACGGAAAACATCGTAAGGAAAACTGGACTTGTTTATTTTGAGTTTGAAATCTACAATGTCCTTGAGCAAGCGTAGTGATTATTCTCCGCTAATTGTTTTGTATAGCACAGGAGAAAAGCCTATCCTGCCCTAGACATTATTCATAAGATGGCACATAAATAAAAAATATATAAGTACCTTCAAAACCGTTATTTGTATAATCTACAAATAGATGATACCAATTTTAAATAATTACACCGATATTATTCAAATAGATAAATCGACTAATCATAATAAACGGTGAATCATAAGAATTATTCCATAAACAACAAACCTACACACACATTCTACATAGGATATAGTATATTAATTAAAGCTAGCACACTTAATTGAATACCAAGGTCGCGGAATCAAAATATTATTACTATCAATTTATCCTTATTTTAAACGAGACATATAAGTTGGACGAGTTTGTTGTTCTTGTTATGACATTTTATTTTAATTGCAATTTAAGGGCTCAAGACTCTTATATCAGTAAAAAATAAATTTAAAATTTCTCAACCAATTACTACATAGTATAAAACAAAGTCGCTTTTTCTTTCCCTAGAACCCTATGTATGGTTAAACCTTTGAAACTACGCAACGGACTTAGACGCAGTTTTTTTCTTCATAGGAGTGCTTGAAGAGGAAGGTTTATAATGTTGTATAACAAAATCCATTAGAAACATTGTGTCAGCAATGCGAGTCACTAGTAATATATAAGTAAATGTATAGTTTATTGTTTTGTATTTACCTGAAATTGCTGCACCAATAAGACGGTCCCCAAGTGCACTGGGAGCTGCCCAATAGATGGTCTGTAACAAATCATAAAAACTGTCATCGAGGGCAATTTCAATTTTGAAATAATAAATAAGACTATGGATTTAAACAATTAAGACTAATCAGAAATTTAGTTTCAGAGTGATAGTCTAACTAATAGATATTTTAACATATTTCAAGTCGAAATGAGTCTATGTATGTATCTTTTCAGCTGAAATTTGACCCTTATTGCGATCCTTCTGCTTTGTTAATGTTCTAGCCCCCGGAATTTTTAGTTGTCGTCGTTTAATGAGGGTAAACAAAGTTATCTTCGCTTTCAAAACAGTTGGAGACCTATAGCAATAAACTATCACCACACAAATAGCAACAAACGAAATATATCAGTATGTATTACACATAGGCATACAACGTTGGGAACATTTCATGCTCCTAAGAATATGAAAGTCATGTCATGTGTTGGCAATGCATGTGGCATTGAAAGTGAAACGTAAACAACAAAAACTGAAAGTTGTAAACATGTCTACATAAAAGTATATAAATAAGTAGCAATATGACGTTATTTCAGCGCGTTCATCATCATAGTTCTCTGCCAATAGACTACCACAGACGGGGCTCTTCGGACTGATATTCAACTGGTGTTGCAGATTGAGCGCAATGAGACACCGCGGCCAGGGCCTAAAGCAGGCAAAGGAACGGGGCAGTTTTTAGTCAGTAAGAGTCTGACTCTCCCTCTCGCCTCACCCTGGGCGGGAGAAGCCATTAGAAGATTTTCCCCTGACAAAAAAGGGCTTCCGTCAAATATATGGCCCTTTTTGATGGAGATCGGATTTGGAGGGACCCGGAGTTGGTTCGTTAACAGAATCTAATACCATAATATAAGTAGGTGCTGATGATCGCCTCCGAGGTCGTTATAATAGGGTGATAATCCCATGTTTTCACTAAAAGAACGGTAACTTTTGAAGATTTCCCTCGTCGTAAAAATGGCAGGGTAGGAGAAAACTTCAATTAGGCAATAAAAAATCTGTACCTAGTTTCTTAATGCCGATATTTGAATGCCATTCCCAAGAAAATTATTCATAAACTGGACATTGCCAACTAGTAGGAATTAACGTAATTTAATCAACATCTTTATTACTTTTCAACAATTTTAATCACTACATCGTTATTGAAAGCAAAACAACTACAGTTTAAAGTTTATTCAATTCAATCTTTTGAAAAAAAAAAAATTAAATTTTTTAATTGAAGTAGTTTTTACACGACTTAATTGTGGCAACTAATTTTGCAGTACTTAGTATGTGTTTAACAATATCACGTGCCTTATTAAATATTTTTGCTTTGATGTTAAATATTTTCATTTTATTTCCAAGTAAAGATTGACACGTCTTCATCGTCATATTTTTTAGAATAAAGGTGACTAGGCTTATCGAATGCCATACCTAGTCATACTATCAAAAATTGGTTTTAAGTTCACGAAAAATAATTATGAGCCAACAAGCAGTCCTTAATGTTTAAAATATGGACTTTATTTTATTTAAATATTTGTAAGAATAATGCAGATAAAACGATTCGTCATTCACCAGGGGCTGTTCTCATAAATATCCCGATATGATTGCAATTTGGAAAGAAATAATCTAAGACACCTAACAATTTACAGTTTATTTATTTACTAGCTCTTACCCGCGGCGTCGCTCTCGTCATTTGATTACCTACCCTACTCTACCTACTCTAACCTATCCTATGTAAGGACATAGGATTTAGCTGAATATAAAGTATTTCTATAAATTATTAAAAAAATATGGCATTTTCAGCTAAATCGGTTCAGCCCCTCTTGAGTTATATGTGGAGTAACTAATACGACTTTCTTTTATATATATACATTTAACGTCGATTCAAAGAGAAGTCATGTGGATGACTTTACCATGTGTAGGACAGATAGAACACCATTTTTACAGATTGCCAGGGTTGCCGGTGTAAGCGTTATAAATAAAATACTGCGGCCTCGGATTGGAGCAAGACAAGTAACGGGGTGGTTTGAACACTAGCGGCAATGACGTATTATATATAGACACGTCATGAACCAACATCGCGGCGCTTAAAAACGGCGAAAATACTAGATAACTACTTCTACTAGTAAAGAAAGGGAAAGAAAATATGACATCGTATAGTGGAATGCCTTTGCTAGAGGGAGATAAATATACATCTTCAGTTACATCACAGGATAAGTAATAGTAAAACTACATTTTCATAAGATGGCCGCCATAAGATGGCGGGCGCCGGCGTCGAAAAAAATAAAATAAAAATAGGTTGTTTGGTGAAGTTACGCATGAAATGACAAATTTTTGTCTTTAACTTTTAGAGTATAATTTGTACATCGTCTGAACACACACGACGGCATGCTTTCTTTATGTTTCGCACAGGTTTACAACACGATATAAATTAAAAACAAACGTAGCGTCGCGCGGCAGGTTGGTGCGTAACTATGCGCGATGTTGTCAATTGCCTTCATTTCATGTTGTCATTTTAGAGCGCGGACAACGTATCTATAGATTTATACATCATTGACTAGCGGCCTTATTATAAAAGAAGGGTTATCTGTAGTTTACCTAGTTCTAAACCATTGACCCAGTTTTTGTAATTCAAATTGAAGGTAGATGAGAATAAGATTCAGAATTCAAAACCCGACTCAATGTGTTGAACATAGACTAAAGATAAATCTTGTTTTTTAATAAAGGGCTAAAAGCAATGATGTTATAAGTAAAAAGGTGTTGATAGGCTCAAAAGTGCCACACTTTTTTTTGCCTCTTTTTCACTTGCGATTATTGAATCATGCCATCTCACTTTGATATCTAATCATACTTACGAATTGTTCATTTGCGTATCAGTGTGTCGTTTTTGAAATTTCGAATTTTGTTTAGGTAACCTATCTACACCATTTTACTTATAATATCATTGGCTAAAAGTTTAACAGTTTCATTCTCCCTACCCACGGAGGGACAAAATAATTGACGATTTACCCTCCTCAAAAAAGGAATCTAACAATTACATACAAATTAAGTAATTTGTGTCAGTTTTCAAGTAGTGTAAGTGTATGCCTACACGTAATTGTAATTGAGGCAGAACAAAATGTTTCATGTACAAAAATTTTACTGAATCGGAAAAGACAATAGCATTGTACTGAGCTGAGAGAAAGAAACAAGCGCCAAGTTGACATTCTTTCATATTGACGGTAGAAACAAAACATCCACGCATGCGTTGTAAATGCAATTAAAATTGTACAGTTTAATTTATTGTTATTTTAATGTGAGTAAACCACAGCACGTGAAAAGATTTATTACGGTCCTTCGATGATCATTCAAAATTATTGTTGGCTATGTGTGACCAAAGTTGCGATACGCTTACATTAGCCGAAATTAAAACGGAGCATGAAGTTTCTATTGGGTAGTTTCGTAGGTCAAAACTAATAATATCTACACTTTTATTCATCGATCTAAACTATTTGACGCAAAAATACTATGACATCATAATTTACAGTTACATCTATACAAATTTTATAGCAAGGTGTCGTTTTTGTCATTTGGATAAAAGTATTGGATTTGGCTAGTTGGAAACTATTATTTATTTCTTTATTTATTTATTTAGGTTAGCTAACAATTGTTTACACTTTACTTAGACAATTAGCAAACAATATTTATATTACCAAGTGTAACAATTACTTATAGGCTAACACCACATGCACAACAACATAAAAAAAAAATATTCTACTAAGGTTGGGTTGTACCAAAATACTTCAATGTCACTATCATCAGCCTAAAGGACTATACTGCTGAACAAAGGTCTCTCCTTTACAAAAATCATCTCGTTGTTAAAGTACTATCTAGGAATTTCAGTTCCAATCTATGTGTACAGTTAGTACAGGTTTTTAAAAGAATGAATGACTTACCCTTGTGTTTGATAACTTTGGGCACAACTGGCTTCTTTTTCTGTAAAACAGAACACGGTATTAATAAAACATGAAAAGGCATTACTTGAATGATTAAGAATCTGCTAATAAGAATCTTATAATCGCGAACTTAGAGCTGAATCTCATTTAAATCATAACTTAACAGTAAGTTCTTGACAAATTCTAGTGTCCAATGTACAAGTAACAAATGAGTCAGAAGACAACGTATGTAACATTGAGTTTGTACAAACATCGTCGACTGCAGTAACACATAACATTGCTCATTTCCTTAAATGAATGTTGATAGACACTATCGTGTATCCTACTTTTATTAACATGGTAGGTAATAGAAAGATATTTCCGCGTGACAATTGGCCTTAAGACCTATGGCGTAAAAGAAGACACGTGTCTGATTTACTAGGATATTCTTTTGGTGATTTAGGTACCTAAATAACTTACTATGCAAGTTCTTTATAATACCTACTACTATTAAATTTGTTAGTGTGGCAGTTTGTTACTCTTTCAATTAAAAACTACTGAATGGATTTTGGTGAAAATGGCACAGGTAGATAAATCTGGACTGAAACGAGAACTTGTGTGGAAGATCTAAGCTTCTGCACGAGTGGGTCAGCTCGGCCGGAGTGACACCACGGTCTCTCTTATAATCGGCGTGAAACAACCACAGCATTGTACTTCACTTTGTAAGTGCAATCTTTTATAGGTATTCATAGTATTGAATCTCTCCCCTAAAGACCGGCAAGGCATTCGGTAACTCAGTTACCATGGACGGCATCGATTGCTTACCATCAGGTAATCCGTCTGCTAGTTTTCCGGTATTTGTCATAAAAAATCTCACGTAGGCTTCTTTTAATCCGTAGAGAAATTATGACCTGGGAAATGTTGACGAGTCGGAGCTTAATAAGGAGTTGTCTACTCACATCCATGCTGAGAATGTTGTCGACCTTCATGTTGTTACACATGCCGATGAGCCGGCACATGGTCTCCGGCGAGGTTTCCGACTGCAGGACATGGTTGATGTACTGTTGCAAGTATGCCGTATTCTCCTTGCAGATCTTCGAGACGCCTGGGTACGGCAAGTCTTTGCATTCCGATGCCACGCGGGAGGCCAGGTAGTCCTGGTTAAACAAGGATGTTTTTTTTTTCAGTTATGGACTTATACTCGTATTGTTAAATGAGGGGTCGATAATATTATTATCAAAATAACCACCTTATTTTGATAATAATATTATCCTTCATCATCACGTTATTTTATTAAATCGTTTCTCTCCAGAACCGTGTTATATCTCACTGTAGAGAAAAGGAATCTATGACTAAACACTCGGCTTACTGATTAGATTAGATTTTTATTTTTACCGGGATTAATACAAAGATTTTTTGCATTACATTGGTACAAGCCATTACTCGGTCAACCATTACTCTGTCAAAAAGACAAACCATTATATCTCTTACACTTAAAAAAATATACTGTTTTGTATTTCCACATTATAAATTCCGACCTCTAGCTCCAACGATTCATTTGAGAAAAGATCAGTAGATAAGTCCCTAATCTAAGGAAGTTGGGACATGTTTGGGAATGAGATAACTCCGGTAAATCTCTTATCACAGCTTGGTATGTGAGCTAATAATAGGTTTCTTTATTCCTGTTCAGTTTACGATACCATAATGAAAAGTTTGAAAAATGACACGATCAAATGACGTATCTGTACGACCTTTCGGACCTTTAGGGACCTGTGTTTTTAGAGGAAACACAAATGTCCTCTATGTTCCCTCACTCACACTATCCTATGAGACGACAATCCGACATGACCAAAGAGGTTAAGCGCAGGACCAATAAGGTAGTCTCAGTCTCAGTCTCAAAGAGACAAAATCAAAAAATATTATAGCATTACAAACCTCATTGATAAGTTCCCTGACATCCTTCAGCTGTCTGAAGAGTCTGACGAACTTGTTGGACACGTCATTGTGTGACACTGTCTCTGTCTGTTTCTCCCACACGGTGGATGTACAGTGACCCACGGCCCCGCACTCAGCGCCGCGTCTGCCAATCAAAGCCATTATGTGACTCATGTGGGGAAGGAAGTTGTAGGGTATTGGGAATGTTCTACCTATTGTGACGGAAAAGTGGTTCAAACTCTTTGACATCATGACGTCAATGGATGGTTGTCAAACGTTGCCTAGAGATTGTAAATTTCGTCGTGAATTGTCAACACTAGTTGGTGTAATCGGCAAGGCGTGTGGATTACACCACAGAGACCCCGAGTTCGAGTCCCGCCGTAAACATGTAGTTTTTTAGTTGATAGAAGTTTTGTGGAACTTTCTGGAATTATTTGTGTGAAAGAAATGAAAAATTAAAGAGCGAGAAGGAGAATAAATAAAAATGAGTAACGAAATTATTGGAAGGTTCTGGAGTCATGACGATCAAAAAGAATAACGAAATTGAATGTTCCAGAACCTGAACCGGGGGTATATAAGCGGAACTGCGGCTCACCGCTGGCAGTTGAGTTCTAAGTCTAAAGCGGTTCGGAAGAAAAGGAAGAAGTGAAAAAGAAGAAAAGTGAGTGAAATAGTGAAGTGCAGTGAAATAGTGAAGTGCAGTCAGTTAAGTGAGTTAAGTCAGCGTGAACGGCAAAGTTGTGTCAGTTGGCCGGACTCTGCTGGAGAGGAACGCCGATAACTTAACTCCGTGGACGCTGTAACTTAAGTGCAATAGAAAGTCTGAAAACCGGTATTAGTGTTTCATTTTATCCAATCCCGTAACCCAAGCCCGCATAGTCAGGAACGTGACGTCAGGCACGTAACATTTGGTGTCAGAAGTGGGATTGGAGAAAAATGCCGCTAGTGCCGCATGACGTAAGAGGAGTAAGTACCCGTGCAATGTCAGAAGCGCAGCGTGTGAGGGAAGAGGGTGCTGCAGCTCAAACCAGCGATGCAGAAGCCAAGCCTGTGCAGGTGGATCTTCTGCTACAGCTGCAGCAAATGATGGCAGAGCAAGCGCGCCGCCAAGAAGAGCAAGCGCGCCGCCAAGAAGAGCAAGCGCGCTGTCAGGCAGAACAGCTGCGGGAGCTGAAAGAAGAGCAAGCGCGCCGCCAAGAAGAGCAAGCGCGCCGCCAAGAAGAGCAAGCGCGCCGGCAAGAAGAGCAAGCGCGCCGCCAAGAAGAGCAAGCACGCTGTCAGGCAGAACAGCTTCGGGAGCTCAAAGAAGATCAAGCTCGCCGCCAAGAGGAGCAAGCGCGTCGCTTGGAAGAGATGCACAAGGATTTCACGAAGGGACTGCAAAAGGCTGTCGAACGGGTACAAGAAGTGGAGGAAGGGTTAGGCAAGTTGGAACATCGCGTCATGGCCATAGAGGAGAGAGTGGAAGAAGAGATCTCCAAAATCAAGCAGGAAGTGGCAAGCCCAAGCCCTTTGAAGAGCCGAAGCCGTCTTGCAGCCGTTTTTGACACCCCAAATGTGGCCTCAAGCGCAACGAAAGGGCTCAAGATTCCCCATTACGACGGAACAACATCCTGGACCGCGTTCAAGCTACAGTTTGAGACACTTATGGAGGCTTATGGTTGGACTCAGAAGGAAGCACAGTCAGCCCTCACCCTGGCCCTCCGTGATCAAGCGCTCTCAGTGCTGGAAGCTATCGGCGCAAGTGGGGATCTCAGCTTTAGTGCCCTCCTCGACGCACTTGAGGCACGTTTTGGAGACAGCCACCTTGAGCACGTGTACAGAGCGCAATTAAAAGAGCGTACTCAGCGTGCTAATGAGAGTCTACAGCAATGGTCCGTGGAAATCGAAAAACTTGTGCGTCGAGCTTTCCGGTCGACTCCGTCAATGATTGAAGGCACGCTTCTCCAAGCATTCATTGACGGTGTTCGGGACCCCGAAGTACGAGCTGCTGTTCATCTGGGCCATCACAAGAACATGAAAGAAGCTCTGGCCCATGCATTGGAAGTGGAAGCCGTGCGTGGTAACTCCCGTACCTTACGTCTGCGGGAAATGACGACAACGGAGCAGGTACCTCCACGCCGTCGGAACTTCATGTGCTATGGATGCGGAGAGCGTGGGCACATGCGGAGCGACTGCCCGAAGAAGGTGAACCGCCAGGATGCGGCGGTCTCAACTTCTGACCAGCAGGAAAACTAAATCCAGCCAGGGCTGCGGGGTGGGCGCTGGCCGGTAGTGGAATAACCCCAACAATCTACATCAAGCAAACTAACGATGGAAATACTCTGGTGATAGACGGTCAAGTAAATGGGAAAAACAGTCAGCTAACGTTAGATACTGGAGCTTCAAGGACGGTGATGAATGTTCGGCTGCTCGGGCAAAACATCAGGAAACACCTTAAACCAATTGTTGGCCTACGAATGAAATCAGCTACCGGCCAGTGCATACCGATAAGTGGAAAACTGCATGTAACAATCAAAATTGGGGAACGTGTTTATCGACATGAGGTTATTGTGGCCAAAATTCTGGATGACTGCATCCTGGGACTTGACTTCCTGCAAGGGCACCAGTGTAACATCGACTTAAAATCTGGAGTATTACTATGTGGAACTGAGGAAATTCCGATGAAGGGTGGAACCCTGGGAAAAGTTTGCTGTTTAAGAAGAACTGTTCTTGCACCAAAATCACAGACTCTCGTACCAATTGCATTACCTAGGAGGAGGGAAGGAAGTTTACCTCGAAGGTGCGCTGTGATTGATAAATCGGAACACGTAAACTCATGGCTACCGGCAAGAACTGTCGTGGGGTCATCTGATGTCAACCGCATTCCGGTATTCAACTTCAGTGATTCAAAAATTACGATTGAAGAAGGAGAGCCTGTGGGCGTATTGGAAGAAGTGGCCTGGATAAGAAAATGCTCGGAGAATCTTGTGAAGAAGGACAGTACGGGAATAGACTTTGTAACGAAAATCTTAGATGAAAACAAAAGTCTGACAAAAGTGGAGACTATGAAGGCTAGAAATTTACTTCTTCGATTCTCTGATGTGTTTTCAAGAAGCGATGGTGATATTGGCCGAACTGGTTTGGTGAAGCATAAAATAAACACAGGTGATACAATGCCAATTCGTCAAAGGCCCAGACGCATACCATTCGCTCGTGAGAAAGAGGTTGAAGAAATGATTGACGATATGAGGAAAAATGACGTGATAGAGCCCTCTTCTAGCCCTTGGTGTTCACCTGTCGTGCTTGTCAAGAAGAAAGATGGTTCAACGAGGTTTTGCGTAGACTATCGACGATTGAATGATGTAACCAAGAAGGATAGCTACCCGTTACCAAGAATCGATGACACACTTGACACACTGAGTGGCATGAAATGGTTTTCAACGCTCGATCTGAAAAGCGGCTATTGGCAGGTGGATTTGGATCCCAAGGACAAGGAAAAGACCGCATTCTCAACTGGAAAGGGACTCTGGCAATTTAAGGTGATGCCATTTGGATTATGCAATGCACCGGCAACCTTTGAGCGTTTGATGGAACAGGTGCTGGCGGGACTGCTGGGCGAAACCTGCCTAGTTTACCTCGATGACATCATCATTGTTGGACGGGATTTTGACGATCATCTAAGGAAATTGGAAAAGGTACTCAACAAGCTGCGTGGAGCAAATTTAAAGTTGAGTCCAAAGAAATGCTCTTTCTTCAAGCGCGAAGTGAATTATCTAGGACATGTTATTTCTGAGAGAGGAATTGAGACTGATCCAGCCAAGACTGTCGCTGTTAAGGAATGGCCAACACCTAAAGACAAAACGCAAGTTCGGGCATTTCTTGGATTGTGCTCGTATTATCGGCGGTTTGTGAAAGGATTCTCGGACATTGCCAAGCCTTTGCATCGATTGACAGAGGAGAAACGTGCCTTTATCTGGGACGAGGATTGTGAGCAAGCCTTTCGAGAACTAAAAGAACGGCTTTGTAACACACCAATTCTCGGATACCCCAGCGCGAAAGGAATATTCGTAGTAGATACGGATGCCAGCAATATTGGAATAGGAGGTGTCCTTTCACAACGCGATGGTGAGCATGAGAAGGTTATTGCTTACTTCAGCAAGTCACTATCCAAGCCGGAGAGGAATTATTGCGTGACCAGGAGGGAATTGCTGGCCGTAGTCAAAACTCTGCACCATTTCAAGAAGTATTTACTGGGACGGAAATTTTTGATTAGAACTGATCACGCTGCTTTGAAATGGCTGCTTCAGTTTAAGGATCCCGAAGGCCAAGTAGCCAGATGGTTGGAACAACTTCAGGAATTTGACTTTGAAATCGAACATCGCGGAGGAAGAATTCATGGCAACGCAGATGCATTATCGAGACGCCCATGCGTGGAAGATTGCAAGCATTGTGCCAAGAAGGAAATTGCTTTTCTTAAGGTGATAAGGACTGATACTGTTGACGAGGCATGGGGAGATGATGCGATGAAATTAGAACAGGAAAGAGATGCAGATATTAAACCAATACTGGAGTGGCTACGAAGTGGTAACAAGCCAAGTTGGAGTGACGTCGCCCAATATAGCGCGGTAACGAAAGGTTTATGGGCACAGTGGAAAAGCCTTACGCTGCATAACGGACTTCTGTGCAGGAAATGGGAATCAACAAACGGCAAGGACGAGCATTTGCAATTGGTGGTGCCTCGTTCAAAAATAAGGGATGTATTAAAAGCGTTCCATGATGGATCTTCTGGAGGACATTTGGGAATTAGGAGGACTTTGGTGAAGATCAAGGAGAGGTTTTATTGGTTGCATTGCAAATATGACGTCGAAGATTGGTGCCGGAAATGCACTAGTTGTGCAGCTGTCAAGGGTCCACAAACAAGAAGCAGAGGGGCGATGAAAATCTACAATGTTGGTATGCCTTGGGAGAGAATAGCCTTAGACATCGCTGGACCATTTCCAATCACTGATTCGGGCAATCGCTACGTTTTAGTGGTTATGGATTATTTTACAAAATGGCCGGAGGTCTTTGCCATACCGAATCAAGAGGCAGTAACTGTAGCCACGAAGTTGGTAAACGAGGTATTCACCCGATTCGGAGTGCCCTTGGAGATGCACAGTGATCAAGGACGGAACTTTGAGTCCCAAGTTTTTCAGGAAACTTGTAAACTTTTGGGAATCCATAAGACTCGAACGACCCCTTATCATCCACAGTCAGATGGAATGGTCGAACGTTTCAACCAAACATTGGAGCGACACTTAGCAAAGGTGGTTGACAGCCATCAGAGAGATTGGGACACTTACATATCTCTCTTCTTGCTTGCCTATCGGACTGCTGTACATGAAAGTACCGCAAAGACGCCTGCATTTGCAAATTTTGGAAGGAAATTGAGATTACCGGCAGATCTTGTATCGGGCTGTCCACCTGGCGACTCTCGCACCGAGTTTAGCGATTACATAAGCGAGTTAAGGGCAAAAATGTTGGACATTTATGAGCAGATCAGGGAGGCCGGCCTTCAAGCTAGTGATCGCGCAAAGACGCGCTATGATCGACGAGCCAATTCTGTTGGGTTTGAAGAGGGGTCATTGGTCTGGCTTCATAATCCAGTCAGAAGGAAGGGAAAATCTCCGAAGCTGCAACCGAGTTGGGAAGGTCCTTATGAGATAGTCACGAAGATCAATGACATTACTTACAGAATTCGGAAGACTTCAAGGAGCCCTTTGAAAGTTGTCCATATAGACAGGTTGGCGAGGTATTACGGCAGCAACGATGCTCGGGACGAGCGAATCTAAGAGGGGGGCAGTGTGACGGAAAAGTGGTTCAAACTCTTTGACATCATGACGTCAATGGATGGTTGTCAAACGTTGCCTAGAGATTGTAAATTTCGTCGTGAATTGTCAACACTAGTTGGTGTAATCGGCAAGGCGTGTGGATTACACCACAGAGACCCCGAGTTCGAGTCCCGCCGTAAACATGTAGTTTTTTAGTTGATAGAAGTTTTGTGGAACTTTCTGGAATTATTTGTGTGAAAGAAATGAAAAATTAAAGAGCGAGAAGGAGAATAAATAAAAATGAGTAACGAAATTATTGGAAGGTTCTGGAGTCATGACGATCAAAAAGAATAACGAAATTGAATGTTCCAGAACCTGAACCGGGGGTATATAAGCGGAACTGCGGCTCACCGCTGGCAGTTGAGTTCTAAGTCTAAAGCGGTTCGGAAGAAAAGGAAGAAGTGAAAAAGAAGAAAAGTGAGTGAAATAGTGAAGTGCAGTGAAATAGTGAAGTGCAGTCAGTTAAGTGAGTTAAGTCAGCGTGAACGGCAAAGTTGTGTCAGTTGGCCGGACTCTGCTGGAGAGGAACGCCGATAACTTAACTCCGTGGACGCTGTAACTTAAGTGCAATAGAAAGTCTGAAAACCGGTATTAGTGTTTCATTTTATCCAATCCCGTAACCCAAGCCCGCATAGTCAGGAACGTGACGTCAGGCACGTAACACTATTATAGTGTTATTCTTACTATTAAATTATGAAGGAGTGTTTATCGTTGATTTACGTCTTTTTGTGCCTGGAGATACATAATTTAGTGGCTGGACACTGTCATAGGCAATTTGTTACTTTTGACTAAGCAGCAATCTGCGGGTGGAATTTATTTATATTTATCTATTTATTCCTTAGGAATAGTTTTCATTTCATAGAATGTAGACTATAAAGCCTACTAATATACCAAACTATAAACTACGTCTGTGTGAATAAATCATAGTTTTCGCGAAATGTCCAAAAAGTCATTCTAGTGATGATTATTTTATTTCCTCGTCAATTACACAACTGATAAGTACCGTATAATTTTAGCCATTACCGACAGGAAATCGAATGAAAACACAAAAAAATAATATAGTATTAAAACAATTTATTTCGCCAAAATCAAGACACTGGTAATTTTGACCTTGTGTAAGTATAAAATATTAAAAGTATGTAGGTACTGTGTAAAAGAGGTTTTAAAAAAATATCGCGTAAAATGTTACCAAATATTGAAAACAAGTTGAAATTTTATTTTCAAGTATACCTACATAATGATGTTTGAAATATCTGTCTCATTCGTTTAATGAGCTGTGTGGAAGTTTATTTCTCCCCCTGTATACACAAGTGTGACTAACCGGACGCGGACGTAGGTAATCGATTGTCAATACTCTTTAAATAAAATTATTTATGACCGTTGCATGCAATGAAGAATCTTTCATAAATTACTTAAATCATTTATTTAGTTAGTCGCAACAATGTAACGCAAAGTCAACTATTTCAATACTTTTATCGTTTGATAAATAAATACATAATTAATGTATTAATAGGTAATATTCGTCAGTACAGAATTTAATTAATGGTTTACACATTCTAGAATGGCGAAACGAGACAGAGAGAGAACAAGAGTTATTAAACTAAGCGTTTAATAACTCCCTGTTTATGTTAAACCTTTCAAAGATTCTTGAGAATTAGAGGGTGTAAATGTACTTATTTTTATAAATTTTTTTTTGGTGAAAATGTTAGTGCTCTACTGAGGCAACAGTCAGATTCGCCGCATAAGAATAAATCAAATTGTATCTTATTGCATAGTGTTATACTGTCTTTAATTCACTTATTATCATTTCAACTTACTTGAGACTCTGACACCATACTGACGGGCCCTTAGCACACTCCTTTGGTACTTGTCGCGCGAACGACAAATCTGGGGAGCAGAAAACAAAGATTAATCAAAGTGACACAAGTGTTGCTTATCTCAGTTTAATGACTAATAATAAAAATAACAGCAAAACAAGTCAGGCGGGGTCAATGCTGTTTATCACTGTAATTCAACACAGTTAGTAGCTTGTAGTGTGATTACTGAAAGTGATAATGGAACGAATGGACAGTAGGACATTCTGGTACAGTTTGTCTGTTCACATTATTCACCATTCTCTATTTTGCCAACATTCTTCATTTACACTCATTATCATCAGCTTATAAGAGCCCATTGCTGAGCAAAGGCATCTTCTCACATGGGGTAGGTTTGAGCATTAACATGTTAAACCCCATTAAGGATACTTCTGGGCCACGTTAGTGGAGGAATCACCCTCAACAGTTAATTTTCAGCAGTCAATGACTTAATCACCATGCTTGCTCGAGGCAAATTAGTGATTTAAATTAGAACTTATAATGATTGATTTACTCATTATGTTTTCATTCACCATTTGCTCTCTACATACACTTACTACAAAAGTACATATAACTTAACAATGAACCAATGAATTTATTTTTCCAAATAGGCCATAAAACTGTAGTTTTACATATCAAAATGCAACCACACACTCAGAAAATATCACATTGGTACTTTGGCAAGTTTCAAACTTTTGACTTTTTACTGCACGGTTGGTGCAGTGGCTGGGCAACTGGCTGCCGTACAACATCTCACGGGTTCAATTCCCACACGGAACAACTCTTTGTGTGAACCACAAATTGTTGTTCTGGGTCTGGGTGTGATTTGTATGTTTGTAACCGCACCCACGACACAGGAGAAAATCCTAATGTGAGGCAATGTGTTTAAAAGGAATAATTTCAAAACCAAGTTCCAATTAAGTGATGAATAAGCATTGTAGGTAATATGAATGTTGATGATAAATAATTTTCTACTAATCAAGATATTCATTGTTTATTATTATAAGACCATTACAATAGCTGGTCTCTTGGAAAAGTTATTTTTTCATTTGTTCAAATCATCAAAATCATATTATTCATATCACTATGGCATGCAAGTTTGGATGAAGTACTATTTTGCCAGTTACATGTTGACAATGTAGTGCTGTTTACAATGTTACATCAGTTTTTGTTTCAGAAATAAGCATTCATAGTACTTACAATAATGAATTTAAAATAAACATTATTATATTAATGGTTAAGAAACTATTCTAAGAAAAACAAGGCTACAGTTCCCATGCTATTAGTTGGCTTCTTGTAAGAATAAATAAGCATTAACTATGCATAATTAATTTTGATTATTTTGTCGTTTCACCGATATTATTAATTGATTTCAGAAAAAGCAACTAGATAATTTATTTCTAATTGCATAAAGGTACCGTGATCTCTTAAACCTGGTGTTTTCAGAAATGTTTATGCCTAAGAACCAGCAAATGTACTTATAATTACAAACCTATCTATCTAATTAAGTTATAACTGACTTCATAATATCAAATCAAAAGTAAAAATGTAATTTACATCTAGTTAATGACTACAAAATATTTATTCTTTCGAGAACCGTCTACCGACATAAAAACAACACTATTAGATAAGTTTAGAACAATAGGCAGCTACAATAAAGTACATAAAAACTATGCAGCTAGTAGTAGCTAGTCTATTCCAGCAATGATCCAACGCTAATTAATAAGCCTGCGTTCGTAATAACGCGATGAAATCACTATCCAACACGAAAATAACAATAATTAGACATTGCGGGTATTTGTGACCCAGCAAAATTATTAGAAGTAGAATTCGATAAATTCAGTTAAGTCGAGTTTTGTAATCGAAGTAAGTAAACTACAAAAATATTACAAGGACGTAAATAATTAGAAGATTAAACGTAAATCTAAGTACATATTGTTATTACTCACCTGTACAACAAAAGAGTGCAAGTAGACAAACCACAAGAGTGTTTGTCATGTTGAAGTTTTCGTTTTATCTCCTGCGGTCCAGTTTGGTTCTCTCCCTACACAGTACTAAACAAATACTGAATAATTTCACTTTGTTTGGAAGTTATTGCGTATCGATTGATAAACAATTGTCAAGTCACTCGGGCGACCAATATTCGACGTCTGACTGGCAATTCGGCTGCTGTCGCCTGTCAGTCGTATAGTGATGGACAGCGGCAACAACAATAACGATAAAAGTTGCAACGTTGCGAGTATTTTAAAGTTGCAACGTATAAAAGAATACTAATTAAATTATAAAATTGACAACAAAAAAATGTACATATAGCTCAAATTTTTTCAAAATATCCTTGATATGTTAAGTTGTTCAACTTATTCTCTAATAAATCATGGATGCCATTGCCACGTTAAAAATAATGTCCATTTATTGGTTATACATTACGTTTTGGCTAATCAGATCTATGGAAGTATGTTTGTTAAAGCTGATGGCTGATTTTTGTATTGTACCAGAAAATCAAATTATAATTACATGTTTGTTTTAATATTTTGTTTGAACCATTAAATATTAAAAAAGATAATTAGCGAATATATTCTTAAATCTTATATAAGCTTTCAAAAACCAACTTTGGGTGATAATTTTAAAATATTCAAATAAACATCATTTGAAACCGTTACAACTCGTTATTAACTTTCAACTAGTTACCTGAAAAGGGTTGGTTAAAGACATCCCTACAAAAAGGATTAGTAACAGCGCCATCTTGCGGGACATATAAACTTATTAATACAACAAATACATTGTAACTACTCGTCACTAGATGGCATTATAATCACTTTGTCTTAGTTGTAGCTATTGAATAACAGATGGCAGAACCAGTTCTTTGATAAAGTTGATAAAACTTGGTGTTGGAGAATGTTTTTCAAATGAATATTTATTTATGTATTTTATTATCGTTTTCAAATATACTACTATACTGTGTCAATTTCCGGTAAAACTTCAAGGGCGACTCTCCTTGTATCTAATTAGTTTCCTGTGAATTTTTGTGGTTATGTCGACACCATGACATGTTATGTAAACTTAAACTAACTTTTTAATTTTTAATGAAGACAAGGTCAGTACGTGGGGCTCCATTTAAACTATCTGCCTGACTAATCAGTATCCATGTAATAAATATGTTTACCTACATTCTGTACTACTACTATTTCCAACTTCACTTTTTCGGATAAGTATAATTAGATATAATTCAACTCACTCAGGTCTACCGCATTTGCCTAATCTCATGGTAATATGTTTATAAATGACAAACAATCGGATTTCTGTAATTTTGTTCAGACCATATCCAATACCTGCGTAGATAATGAAATTAATTCGTTATATTAATTGCCCAAAACAAAACTAGGAAAAAAAATGTTATATTGGTGTATAGTACCAATTAGTTAAAAATAAAAATAATAGGAGTAAATACATAAAGCCCCAAACAAACGGGTACGTTCGCGCACCTATCTATACTAATATTATAAAGAGGTAAAATTGTTAAAATAGAGGTAAAATCTTTGGAACCAATGGTCGGATTGGCAAAATTCTATTCACTGATAGATAGCTACAATGTTCCTGAGTGCTATAGGCTATATAGTAAAACATCACGCTACGATCAAATGGAGCAGCGGGTGAAACCGCGTGAGAGTAGCTAGTTTCACATAAAAAGACATTTCCCACCCTAGGATTTTCTCTTGTGTCGTGGGTACACACATATACATCACACCCAGACCTGAAACAACAATTTGATCTTCTATTATATCTCGTACCACGGTTGAAAGGTAAGAATAAATATTAGACAACTCAAATTATCTAAGTGACATACCTAAGTATCTTCTTGTAGAAATATTCTTCCCGCATTGGTTCCACAACCGAAATTCTACATGACCTATCGAAAGAGTTCAAAAACATTAAAGCTGCAAACCTACACCAACATCGAACAACAAAATTAAGTTAATATAATAAAGTAGCCGGTACGTGTAATCCAAAGCAAGGAAAGGCAACGTCCAATAAGACATAGTCCCATAGAAAAGGACGACACAAAATTGGTAATTCCATTCTCCAGGTTGGTTTTTCGAGACACAATTAGGACATTTTGTTGGAGTTCGGGTCGTGTAATAAAATTAAGGAGACGGTGGCTGGACGGTCGCGGTAAGTCGATGTCTTCGGGCGGCATAAAACAAATCCGACCCGAGCCGGCCCGTGAGGACCGGAACAGAGACCCGTGGAGACTTCTTTGTGACTACTTTACTTTTGTTTGTACTTACTAACATCTATATTTGTTTATTTTATAATTTAATTTTGTAATGATCTAGATACGTCGCATTTCGTGTTTTGTTTCAAAAGGGACTGCTGAATGTGAGGAGCTGAAATTTGTATCCCTGATCAATTTTTTTTTATTCTTGGTATAATACCGGTGAAAAAAAATCTATCTACAGATAAATGTATAGGTCCGTTTTGGGGAAACAACAAGAGTGACGCGTTCAGATTTTGAAAATAATGATCATAGATGTCGCTGGTTACAATAGCAAAGTTACAACACTTAACTTACATATTTATGCAGGAATATCCTAAATACAGGATATATATAAGAAAATGATAGGTAGAATATTTTAAGAATAGGGTATACCTCTTTATTCCACAATGTGTCAAATTAAAATTTTGTTACTTTTTTCTGTTTTTCATTTTATTATACGATGTATATGTACCTATTAGTTATTCAGAGACTTGTCTTCAGTATATACTTACCATTCCCTACAATCTATTCTGAAACAGGTGATTAAACATTGATATAGACATTTTTTATTCAAAATAACTTATTTTTCCCATGAGTTAACTGCGTAAATTTCTACTTATACTAACTCCAAGTCACAACGGGACTCATATTCATGAACTACGTGCGCTTCGCGTAAACGGCGCGTATACAACACCAATACCTAGAGCTTTTCTCAATGAATTCAATGGCTAAGTCGTATTTTTCTTAAAATTTAATATGTCTCACGATTTTTATTATTCATAAATAGCTATAGGTAGAGATACATTTGTCACATAAACATCAATATTAGCAACAGCGCCGTCTCCACAGTTTCGCACACGTGCGCGATGTTCACATATTCTGAATAACACTTGAATAGCGCGTCCTAACGCACTGGCCACTGGTACCACGTGACGAGACTACTCCCCGCGATACTTTGTTTGTGTATCAAATCGGACAACACTACGTTGACTTTGTAAATGGCCGGGACGTGGTTATGTGCTGTTTCAGGCCCTTTTTGTACCCTTTATGTTTATATGGAAGCTATTTCCTTAGTACCTTACCTTTACAGGACAATATGAGAACTATCTAATCCATATAAAGTAATTTTGGAGCTCTGTTTCCTTGTAGGTAGTGTGAATATTTTAGTTGGTGTTTTGTATTGTAAGTGCTTCGTGTACCTGATGGTACAAGGAGTCCCTTTCTTTGTTTCTTTCTGCTTCGTCGAAATGTGTTTAATAAACAATTAATGATTTTATTATCATCAATAACCATTTTTTACACATGAAAAACTGTTATACCCTGTATGTTTTTCGGTAGATACATCGATAGCCCCCTCCGTTACTCTAAAATTAGAAATACATATTATCTTTTACCAATTTGATATAATATGAGAAAGTAAACCATTTGAATATGAGGAACTAAAACCTGCTTCCTATAAAACACAACCACAGCTAACCAATTTTCCAATCAGAAGAAAAGAAGAAAACATAAACCCCACTCCTGCATCACCAGCGCAACTCAATCACCATTTGCTTTCCAGCCCAGAAGCTCTGCCCGAAGCGCCTGTATCCGTCTAGTCCACAAAACATAGTGCCGAGAGTGGAGAGCTAACACCAAGTGGAGTCGCGAAGTTGGCCGCAGTTAGGAAAGATTTGTCGCGAGCCCGCCACCTAATGCCTTATACTCTTGCTCTTGTAAGTAAAAATTATGATTATCGCCCGGCGCGAGCTGAGCCCTTGATCCCTAACTAACGGCCGGAGACGGGAGACTTTCCTTTTCTTCTCAACTATAACTCTTTTTTATTGGCTCCGTGGCGGTTGCAGCGCCGGCGGCCACTGGATTATGGACTGACCTAACTGATCGGCAAACTAACGACTCTTGAACGTACGTTATTTACAAATCGGGATCGAACAAGATGCTTGTTTGTGAGCCACCGGGCGAAGGTGAAACTGAGAAAAATGTAGGGACTACTTGTTAAATGGTCGCATAAAGTTCAAGTGACAAAATTTTTTCATTGCTACTTCAATGTTCCATAATTTAAAAAGCTTATCTCAAAAATCTCTTTTAGTTTCACTAGTGATATTCCATTAAGTTGTGAGGCTTAGTAAACTCCCAGTGGGGTAGTACATAAGCAAGGCGAACATCATAAAACACAAGTAAGTCGTGAAGTGCAATACAATACATAAATGAGAGTGGGCCGGAGACGGCGCGGGCCTGCGACGGTCGATTAAGGAAGCGACTGCATCGTTGCCTTGGCGACGACGCCATCTTGAACCCGCCCCGCCCCGCACCGGTCCCCTCACGACCCCCAGGCCCACCACAACCCCCCACTGTAAACAACTCGCTGTATCGTTGCACTGAAATACTCGATATATTTAAAAGGCTCTCCAGTCGTCCCCCTGAATCACTGCTGTAAGATAAAATTGTCAATTTATTGAGGATCAAAAAATATGATTGCGATACTCGATAGTGGTATTTACTAAATGGGCAATAGGCATAAATATGAAAGTGCATTTTAACAGATGTCTAGTTCACACTGGGATTGAAAAGCCTTTGAGAAAATACCTTTCTCGACACTAAATGAACTCATTCATACTATCTCATATATACTAGTCAGCAGGATAGCGAGTAAGCAACTGGTTATTTGATAAAATAAATTATTATAGTAAAATGTATTAAATATGTATAAATAAAATATAAAATAAATAAAATATTATAAAATATGCAACGAACAAAATTAAATCATGCAGCTTAAAATATTACGTAGATACTATTTAAGACTCATACCATGACTCTTATAAATAAATACGATTGAAGAATATGTTTACATTTTTAATACCATATGAAGGTTATTACTTGCCTGCCTGAATGATTTCAAAAAACATTTTAATAGTTTCGACATAAC